CAAAACCATTTTTAACCACTAACATATTGTAAATATTCAATTCCTAACTTCAATTGGTTGATAGAGGCAAAACAAATTGCAAAATATTTTCCCAGATTGATCGATTTTTGATTCAGGTCTGGACATGGTCGAAGTTTGGAAAAAAATATTTTTTATTTTGTTCCAATTTGATCAAAAACGTTATCAGCAGATGAAACTATCCCAGAAGAAATGCTTTTGGCTTCGAAAAATGTTTTGAGCTACCATTTTTTAGACCTCTTCCCTACACACTGCTAGACATAATTTTAGCTTCACCTCACTTTTTGTGATTTTTCCAGTTTCTAAATCGTCTTTTACGAATCAGAAACAGGAATCTTATCTAACGAAAAATCACAAAAATGAGGTGAACCTAAAATTATGTCCTGCAGTGTATGTATCCCTCTCACCACACCGTTGGAGCGCGCGCTTTGCAGCCCCGAAACTCGGCTTAAAACGCTTAAAACGCTTTTCTCAAGCTCTCGTTGTTTATTTCGGAATCTACGCAAAAAATTACTCTAGTGATTTGGAAAAAAAATAGTGGCTAAAAATCCCGGCTCATATATTAACTACAATCTGACACCACAATGCCAGTAGAAAGTTTTGATTTAATATGAAATTTAAAATTGAAAAAACAAAGAAAACTGACCCGTGCCAGACATAGATTGCAGCAAATTGTATGTATGAATAATGATTTCTCTCCGATCATCTTTCCTGTAAAATAGCGATTAAATGTAAATTTACAGCGTTGGATGTAAAAATTGAAAGAAAGGAAATCGATGTATTCAAAGTGTAAGACAATTCTAGCAAAACTTTCTCAAATTTAGAAATTTATCCGAAGCTTAAATCAATTACCAAACCTTTTGTATTCCGTAAAAGCTGTAATGGTAGCCCCCCTACAGAAACGTCGCTTAATCGAAGCTTACATTTAAAGAACCGCTCATATCCCGGCGCCCAGATAAATGTTTTTGCGTGCTTGGGTATCACATTAAAGTAGAGAGAATGGGTGATTTTTTTATAATAAAGATTCTCGGCATTAACCACCGCTTTACGATAGTAGACTTTATTCAGGGGTGGTACCAATTGGGATTTTCGGGTTCCGAAAACCCTTTAGCGAGTCGGTAAAAACAAAGGGAAAATCTATCAGGAAAATTATTCGGACCCGAAAAAGAAAGTTATGCACTCGAAAAAGGGAGTTATAGACCCGTTAGAAAAGTTTTCGAGACCCGAAAAAAAGTGACTATCGACTCGGTATTTTCAATATTTGCCGGGCCAGTAAAAAGAAAAAAAATCTTCGCAAGGCCCAGCTCACATCCGCGCGAAATAAGGTAAAAAAACGTTCACTATCAGAATTTCACGTTTGAATATCCATTTGACGCAGAAAATTGTGCTGAATCGAATGGTAAAGAAATTATCGAAATCCGTCTGACTCGATTTTTAAAATCGCCTTTTATCGAAAAAACCGCACTTTTACCATCAACTCGCTCGCCGCGACCAACTTTCGGTGGCTCGTTCGCAGCGTGGTCGAAAGATTGCGCCCTCAAAAGCGATAACTTTTGTGTGGACGTGTGCAAAGATGATTTTGATACCAAAAAAATAAAAATTGATCAACTCTGCGAAGACTTGATGCCTTTTTAAGTTGAAAATGACGTTTTTTGACTTTCTGCCTGCTAAAACGTGGACAATCTACGTGACGTACGGACAATTTCGGGCGTGTTTTTAGTTTTACATGCTTAGGGAGCATTATTAAAGTTAAAACAAAGCAAAAAATGCCTTTTGTTATGTTGTTATGCAAAAAAAATTATTATGTGAAAATTCTTTTGCCGACCCGGAACCTCCTTTAAATGCGAGTAAAAACAAAGCCTAACATTTGACTGTTTCTACAATAACGAAGGTTTTTCTGCCACTTTTCCCACTTAATCCTTTAAACCAGTACAGTGTTTTGCCCTGTGATAGAATTTCGACTTGGAAGCTTTATGGAGGCGGTGTTCTTTTACTCCTACACATTTCGCAGATGCAATTTATCAGATAGCTGATTGATGGGATAGATAAATGAGGCTAGTCTTATTATGCTTTTGTAGTTGATATACAGATTTGTTTATTTCCAGGTCACCGAGGCGCATTCAGTCAAATTCGCCAACTTGTTGAACGACATCTTGCTGAAGACTAGAAGCAACAAGCCTAAGGTATCAGTTTTAACTTTTACTATTTTAACATACATTTGTCAACTTATTAATTCCAGATCCACTACCGTATCCTGCTATTCGTGGAGCGACTCTTTGATCGTGTCGGGGACTCAATCCCATCACACTTGCGGATGGTGATGCCATTTTTGTCCGAGCTATTGGAGGGTGAGTGCTGTTTGTTGGTTGAGTAAAATTACATAGAAAAGTCGGGTTTGTTGTTGAATGATTGTTGCTGATGATTTGTCGTTTCTTTCGACACAGATGTTGCAAAAAAAAGCAAAAATGTTGACTTTAGTTGAAAGTTGCTCAGAGGCGTGCCGGTTCTGCTGTCGAAATGTGGGGATCGCTCTCGAAAATGTGTTTTGCTGCGAATACTAGGTGGGAAACGAAATTTTACATGATCATAAGCTTTGGAAGTTTTGTAATGCTCTTTTCTATCTTTTTCTTTAGATCATTAGATGCCTTTCATATACTTGGTTCTACGGCTTCATTACTCAACTATGGTCTTCAAGCGATAATATCAAATGAAGAACCTGCGTGAGTCAAATGTTTATAAACTAGTGGTTAATAACTTTGAGGTAGGTAACTACCTCAAATCAATTCATTTTAACATTTTAGTTCTGTGAGGATCCCTTTATTGGACTCGACGTGTTAGGTGAGATTTCGACAACGGCAATTGTTGGAATGGGCAAAAACGACTTTTGAAATTTTGACAAGGGTACAAACGAGCGAAACACATCGAGTAAATGAGCAAGTATGTTTGCTTTTTCATCATCGATTTTCATTTCATTTTAGTCAATCAATCATTTGATGACCGTCGCGAAGTCTTTGTGTATGCATCGATTGGGAATGCCCAAATATCTTTTCTATCAGAAGTGTCAATTTGAGGTTAAGGTGGGTAAATTTAAGTTTAAGCCAATCTAAATTTACAAATTTAGTTATCCGTGACGCCTGGGACTTCTGGAGAGTATCACGCTTCGCCGAACACTCCAATTCCATTTAAGGTTTGTTTGTACGGATTGAAACTGATATTATTATGACTTGGGCTTGACAATAGCTTATCGATTCTATTTTTTAACGGTTTGATCTTGACAAAGGGACCGATCGTTCCAATTGAGACGGTCATCGTCACAGTCATTGTGCAGTTTGCTGCGTCAGCTGGGGTTTGATTTTTATATTCTTCTTTAATGCGTTTAGATCTATAATGTCAATGAAATAAACCGTCTTGAAATTAAAATCTACTTTTAGAACGATTACGAGCAATCGCAAACGGTCAATCTCAAAGAAGAGGATTATTTCAAGGCGAATTTCTTGCTTCAATTTAACCAAGTGGCTTCCTGTTTGATAGGAACTGTAAAAAATCAAAGCTGTATTCGATTTTATCGTAACTTAAAAAACTTGACTCATTTATTTACCTGAAATTTTCATTAAAGCTGTTTTTAGAATTGCTCTGTCGATTTCATCGTCGAATTCGGTGATTCAGAGCGTCGATAAACTTGGAAAAGTGAAGCGAATGCAATGATGAGGATACAGGTGAGAACACCAGCAAGAATTGAACATTGAAAAAAGTGAAATAAGAAGAATTATGATTCTAGTTTATTTTTTAAAAATGAGTTCTTCTATCGGTTGATTTTCTTTTGTTTCCTGTTATTTTGTTGGGCAATTTGATTCTTTGTTTTTTGTGATCTCGGCAATTTTGTATGGGTTTTGAGAGATTGGAAGAAAAATAAAAATTCTTTATAGTTGATGTTACTGTATAGAATTAAGGAAGAAATTCCAGATTTTTGGATAGGGGTGGAGTCAGCCAAGTGGAACCAGGCAGTCTGATAAAAATTCAAAGTCTATAAAAGACCTTGGGTAATCGACGGGTTTTGTTGCCTGTTTTCTCGTTTTCTTATCGTTAATCCGATTTTTTTAAAGTTAGGTAATAGTTTTAGGCTTGTAAACTTTGGTACAGCCTTTTGTACTCTTGTGCTTTTGTAAATTACCTAAAATAGTCATTGGTTTTTGAAATTGTACAGCAAGGTCGGGCCAAAAAGTTGGCTTGGCTACTTATTAACTACTACTAATTAGCTAAACATTGCTCAATAGTGGTATTTCCCTATCCTAATCAGTCACAAGTGTCATTTGGAGTGAAAAGTTCTTAATGGAGTCGAATTTAAACGATAAAATAGCTGATGATTGACCTCGTTTAGATGAGATAAAAACAATTTTTTCAACAATGATTCACTTTTGCTTTTTTCAAATTAATCTCTTTCCCATGTACTTTGTCTGCAAAAATCCGTAAACACACCGCATCTGGTGCACTCAAATCTCAATGTTAATTTTATGCCAAAAATCAAAAAAAGACAGTTTTGCACCATACCCACCAGTATACTTTTAAAGTACCGCCCACAAGTGTCCCAATTGCCAGAGGCAAATTAGGTTTTTTTGCGTTTTTCTCGCCGCTCATTTGACAGATTTGGCTGCACTTGTTTTCATTCAATTGCCCTGATTAATGTCTATACTTGTTCTTTTACTTTAAAAGTATACCCACCAGTACGGTCGCTAGTCAATATTTTTTCGGAAAAATCATTTTTTCTCAAAGCCTCATAATTTTTCCCAATCGCACTTTTTGCTTTGGGGTCATGATTTTTATTAAATAAATTCTCATTTTTATGATGAATTCTATAGAGCTTAGACTTAACGGCTCCGAATCTGATATTTTTTATTTCTACAACTTGGTTCATTTATATATAGTAACTTTAACTCTAGTATTCGCTTCCTTTCTTATTGCTAATCGTTTCAGGTAACCTCACCATGTCGTCCAAGAGGAAGAAAAACGATAGTTCGGACGAAGAAAGGTATTTAAATAATATAATCTATTGTATGTTATCGTTTTTTTAGTGATGAAGTCGATTGGCAGAGGGAATATCGAAAGATGAGTAAGGAGTTTTACAAGAAGATGGAGCGGCTGAAAGAATCGCGGGAAGAGTGTAGGATGAAGCGCGGGGAGTTGCGTGAAATGTCTTCGAAGAATCGTGAGCTGGAACGCCGATTGGTAAGTTCTTTGATACTATAAACTCTTGATAAGAAGTCAATTTTCTAGAAATGGGCTAACGAAACACTCCTTGGATCCCAGTCAATGCTGAATGTGAGAGGTGTTATCGAGTTTCTCGAGGGGTTTGTAAACTTATTTTCTGATTACTTTTTCAAATATCCAAGTTCTACCAAAGACGTGCTTCTTTCCAAAAGCTATAATAGATTTGACATTTGAGCTGTTATGGATTCGCTTAACTTTTAAGGCCATATGAATTTAGATTCTTTAGAATTTTCAATTTCTCAAATTTAGGAAACAGGAAATGCCGGATTCCGTCAGACAGAGTGATCGACACGACCGATGGAAATGGATCTTCGATAATGATAGCAAGTTCTCCAATGAAGTTCGCCCATACTTTTCGCGATCGACTGCTCAGCAAGTTGCGAAGATAGTGGAAGAGATCCTCCACAATGCTGTCGCCGATGCACCATCCTTATGGTTAACAAGGCTTGTGATCTCAGGTCGGAGTTATACAGCTGATGAACAGAAGGTTATTAAAGCAATTTGTGCTACCATTCCTTGCGGTCTTTCTTTTGAATAAAACTTTGTTTTGATTTGTCCTCGATTGAAAAATGTCATCAATTCATAGTGTTTTTATAACGAAACATAACGAGAAAAAGAATTTAAACAACGAGATGTGGAGATTAGGGGAATGGGCGGTACTGGAAATGGTACTTGTATACTACTAAGCACAGAAGAAGAGGTGAAAAAGCTCGCCGGCACTCGTTTGCTCAAATCGATGGACGCTGTTAATAGTGGGGAGCAATTATGAGTTGGAATAGCTAGATAGCGATCGCTTATACTTTAGATGGCCACTTGCTTCGGATGATTCCAGTTAGTTAAATCTTTTAGTATTTTTAAAGTTTGCTTTAGTACACAATTTGTCTTTGGGAAGCTGGTCACTGGAAACGGGTATTTGTTGAAAGCAAAGGCGATCTCCTCATTGTCAGAGGTAAATTTTGAAAATGCAGATCAAACTAGATCCCATTACATTATTAGAACTTGTTAAACAATTGACAAGCTCATAAAAGTCATGGGAAAAAGGAAATCAGTTCTTTTACATCAGGCTGCTTTGATAGATAATTCTTTTGTCGCTCAGAAATGTTACAAATGTTGCAAAAATGTTACAGACTTTTTTCGTTACTAAACGCTAAAAATTAAAACTACCTTTTCCCAATTGTTCTCTTCTATCCACTGCATGGCTTTCCGTAGAGGATCTCCAGCGAGATCGATTCGTTTAGCGAATTCACTCTCATGTTGCATTTGCTTGAGGACGTGTTTCGGATCGGGCTTCACATCGGCCATCAAAACGCCGGCGATCAACTCGGAGACACTGTTGGGCCTTGAACGTCTTCGCCTTCTAAAAGTTACTTTTCATTGGTTACTTTTGAATTTTCATTAAATTAGCAAAACTTCTTTAAAAATTCAAACTCCTACCTAATCTTCTCCACGTTGGCCGTTTGCAGAACAATGGCTGAAGACTGCACAACTCGGTAAGTTTCTCGAACGCGGGCGCATTGTGCGTTTCCCACCATTTGCACACAAAATCAAGCTCAATTGGGTATCTGAAAAAGTGATTACCCAGTTATCTCTCAAATCGCTAACTTACCGAGCACAAAGTGAATAGATCGAAGTAGCGAGACTTTTCAGCAATGTCAGACCTCGACTATACCATTCCGAAGCAAGTGGCCATCTAAAGTATACTTTTGTAGTGGCAGTCAGAAGTCGTAATGAGTCCCTCAGAATTTGATGTGATTGTGTGGATCGTAGAGTCGACAACCAATCAACCAATCAAAGCGAAGTTTGAGTTTTCGTCAAAACTGACAGTAGCTCCAAAGAAAAAACGAGTCGACGAGTCTATTCATCGTAGAATTCACTCTAAAATTTAACTATTTTCAAACACTAGTCAAACCCGCTACTTGAAACACGTTCTTCTGGATTTTGGTGGTCAACTTTGAGCGTTTCTCCGCATTTCCTTTATCCTCTTGTCGTGAAAGCATCAAAAGAACGAATCTAATCGATATCGAGGCCTAAAAATGATCTTCTTGAATTGCACAAGCTTGAGCTTTGTGATAAGCGCAATTATAGACCTTTGCAGAACGTTTCACGAGTATCGGATTCATAAACAATTAAATGTTTTGAACCTTATGCTTCTGACTTCTGACTGCCACTACAAAAGTTTGATCGGTGTGTCTTAATCGATTTGTATTCAGGAAGAAGCGTACATTGCCAAGGCTCCGGCATTATCGGTTCGTCCTTGTCGCTCTGGTCACGAAAATTTTGTTTAACAATCTATGAAAATGTGGGTATCGACCGCATACAAATTTTGTTAGCAATTGAAAGTGACGAGTCGCTGACCGCTTCTTTGTGAACGATTGGAAGACAATTGCTGATGACAAGTGTTTATGTGGATGAATTCGTGCAAAAGAGGCCGAGAAAGAATTTAAGACTAAATCAGCGAAAAAGGTTGGCTTAAATAAAATTATTAAATTATTTTTGATCATTCAGAACGCTCAACGTGATTCGGAAGCCGTTTCGGCACAACGCTACTGGATTGCCATGGGAACTAGGACCGATATTGTTTCTGATAAGGTAAATTTTATTTGCAATACAAATTCAATCCATTTATTCCTGGCTCGTCTCATCTCAGAAACGCTGAACGATAGGAAATTGACATTCTCGATGAAAGAAAAGGTGCGAATAAAGCATAGATTTACATTTTTAACCGGAATTTTAATGATTCTTAATTTAGGTATTACATCTTAGAACATTTTCAACATAGAGTCAACAAAATTCGATTTAGACGCTCCCCCTGTGCAATGCCAAATTGAAACATGACGAGAACGGAATCGACGAGAAGCAGCTGGATTCATTGATCGAGATTCTCAACGGTTGGACTGGACCAAAGAAAGTCAATAAGGCGGCAGGATTTGCCATTTTACTTAAAAGTCGGTTTTTAGATTGCTCTCTGTCAGAATGCTGCATACACGCTGCGCCTTATTGCCAAGAAATTGCCCATCGATAAGCAACACCCGTCGTTGTTGGTTTTTTGGAGCTTGCTGACTAATCAACCTCAAAACTGTTAACTATAATGATAGATTTCAGTGAGACAGCGAAAAGAAACCACTTGAGACAACAGCACGACGGCCTCGCGTTCGACCGATGTCGTTGAGTGGACGACCGAAAGGAAACGATGCTTTATTGGTGATTGGATGACTCATTTGGATTGTTTAATTTGGAAAACTTCAGGTCTGTACTCTCATTTCGGTGCAACGGATTGTCGACAAATTTGCATCTTTTTTGCGCCACACTTCACGGCGATTCTCCTGCATTTCTCGCGGCTTTCAGCTCGCTTTGTGGATCAAATAACGGAGAAGGTTTGTTGTTAAGCTTAAAACAATTTATTGGATTTATTTTTAGGACGCAAACGCTTCTCTACTTGCCGCAGCCCAAGCTTTACCATCACACCAATCGATCGCTTTAAAGAATACTGACCAATAGATTTAACAAGCCAATTGGGTACTAATCTTCTATTTTTTTCAGACTTGGGGCTATCAGACGCACTGTTGAAGGTGGAGTTCCGTGTGATTCGCGATCCTATCGCGAAGGTCGTTCAACAGCTCAAAACCAGCGAGGTAGAAAAGTTTTATTATTCGGGTTATAGTAAAATTGCTAGTAAAATTTAATCTTGAGTCTGTTGCTAAAGTTAACAATTTTAGAAGTCCCTCTGCGCCCTTTTGCTCATTCTTGGCCGGTTTCTTCGAGGCGCGCAGTTTCCAATGGGTTTTCGCAAGCAGTCAACAATTGATCAAGGAGATCTTCTTGTCGGCGGTGGAATATCGATCAACGATGCGAAAGCCGGAGGTTTTCTAAGAAGATATTCTATCAAATGAAAAATGCTTCATGAGTTCGAGATGACCTCGCCGGTGAAAAGATCCATTTTTGATCCCATATTTTCATCGGTTGATCAATTTGGGGGCAAAAAAGCAAAGATGCTTCGAAGTTGCAACACAATGCTTACAGGTGAGTACAACAGATAAGAAAATTAAGTTATCATCAAGTTCCCATTTCATTCAGATTCGGCATCACTTTTCCTAGCACGTAAAAAGGACTTTCTGGATCTGGAAAAGCTGGCCTTTTGGAGAAGCTAGCTCTCTGGATCTAGAGAGGTTGGCTTTCTGAAGAAGCTGACTCTCTGAAGAAGCTGGCTTTCTAGAAAATCTGGCTTAATCTAAAGGGCATTGCGTTCGATCAATTGAAATAAAAAACGACAAAAAAAATGCGCGGGGATGCGGTGGTTTTAAGTTGAGCGTAAAATTTCTCAAATTTCTCTAAATATCTAATTTTAAAATCGTTTTTAAAGGTAAAATTCAAAGCTACCGTACCCCGAAAATGTCTGTGAAATAAAAAGAGTAAACCCAGCTCGTTTAAAAAAGAAAAAGAAAGCCGACTAGAAGTAGGAGAATGGGAAAATTAGCACAAAAACAAGAAATTGCACCGGAATCAGAGAATATGGCTGTACATAATCAAATAATCAAAAAAAACACCCATCGCCACACTTGACATTTGTGCCGTGGGTTCATCATTGATCCGTCGCGACATTTCCATGCTTCAGAGAACTCCTAAACGTCAACGAGACATCTCGTTTCGTAGCCTGTTCTAGAAGGCCTGGCTAGCCGGCGATACTCGAACAAGAGCTCTAACTATCTTCATCTAGCTCTCCCTTTAACTCTTGACCTATCCACCACTACGTTGATCTAGCATCCGCAACCTCCAAACCTGGCTCAGGCTTAAAGTTAGCCTTAGCTTTGCTCAGGCCTAAGCCTTAGCATCGACTAGACAAGTCAAAGACAAGCTGCTGGCAGGACAGCAGCTCATCTTGGACAATTCACAACCCCGTCAAAGTACGCTAAAATTATTCCTAGACTTGTCCATACCTGGTTCAGTCCTCAAAATTCACCCTAGACTTGCCCAAGCTAGCATAGACTCGTAAACAAGTCCCATCCTGCAAGCCACCCTCCGGGCTCAAGCCTTTTAGCCAATCTTGATTACTCTATAGCCTATAAGGAGCCTGGAACGGAGCAGCCCTGATCTCAGGTCTTCTAAACTCGTTCCTTTATTTGCTCACCTTTCGATTCTGCAGCGGGATGATGGCTCGATATTTTGACGGCGCGTGAACGTCGGCCATCACCAATTGCACATAGTGTTTGGGTCGAACCACCAAGCACCAGTTCTGCAATTTTTTCGATTCAATCTAGCTTCTAGTTTTCTGGTTTTAATTTCAACTTCAACTTCAACTACAACCATGACTTCTACTTCTACTTTAATTCTACTTCAATAACAATAACAACTTCTACTTCAGCTACACCTACAACTACAATCTCGACTTCAACTTCTAGTCCAGCTACAACTTCTACTTCCACTTCGACTCCAACTTCTACTTCTACTTCAACCTCGACTTCAACTTCAAACAACTCACATTCGCATAAACAAGAACTCGTATTCGCATAACTTCAACTTCTAATTCTAATTCTACGTCTACTTCAACTACAACTACAACTTCTACCTTCTACTTCTACTTCGATTCAATCTAGCTTCTAGTTTTCTGGTTTTAATTTCAACTACAACTATAACTACGACTTCTACTTCTACTTCAATAACAATTACAACTTCTACGTCTACTTCGACCAAAACTTCTACCTCTACTTCTACTCCAATTCGAAACAACTCACATTCACATAAGCAAGGAAAAACATTTGTTCGGAGGTGAAATTCTGGAAACCAGGAAGCGCCGGCTCGTCTTCAGTCGCGTTTTTTCGCCAAGCTTTGTATGCCTGAAAAGAGTACGGTAGATTTGGGTGCAGCATAGAAAAACCGACATTGAACGCGGTTTTCACTCCCCCATTGTTCGCGATGTTCTCGCTGAGACTCAGCCGGCCGTTCAATCGGATCTTCGCCTCTTTGATCTGGATTTTCTTTTAGATTTCAGTGCTTGAGCTTAGGCTTAGGCCAGTTGAGGCTTAGGGCGCTTCGTAAGTCTAAGCCTTAGGCCTAGCCAAAGCTTCAGTCAAAGCCTAAGCCTAAGCGTGAAGCCTAAAACCTCAGCCTTAGCCAAAGCCTCAGCCTTAGCCAAAGCCTAAGCCAAAGCCTAAGCCTAAGGCCTAAGCCAAAGCCCAGCCAAAGCCTAAGCCTCAGCCTAAACCTAAGCCTAAGCCTGAGTCAAAGCCTAAGCCTGGGCCAAAGCCAAAGCCTCAACCTAAGCCTCAGCCTTCCTCCAAAAAGCCCAACCTCAACAGATCCGTACTGTTCCACGAAGCACTGGGTTTTGTCGGCGAATTTCTGCGCCGTTTCCGCGTCCCACCAATCGTTCAAGTTTCCCCACTCATCATAGCGACCGCCTGATGAAATAAAGGATTGAGTGAAGGAGAAAGTGCGCGTTTAGACACGCATCAAAGGTCACCTTGATCATCAAACGCATGTGAGACTTCGTGTCCAATCACGACGCCGACCATTCCATACGTGATATAGTTGGGGGACACCGATTGTCAAGAATGGGAATTGCATGATACCGGCCGGAAAGACTAAAATTAGATTTGCTCTGATTTTTCGACAACAACAACAACAAGAACATGCTCTAAAAGAACGACATTTTTTAGATGTGTTAAAAAATAGAGTGACAAGCTCGAATTGAACGACAAGCTTCAATTCAGCGATCTTCTGGATGTCACAGTGTACATTGGAATCCAATTTACGGTGCACTGACTTAATTTTTAAAACCCGCACTAGCTAGGCTTTGCTTGTACAGGGCTGTAATTTGTACTATTCCGTAAAGAACACCAAAATTTTAAGAGTGTTGGGTCATCTGGACGTCACAGCGTACGCTGGAGTCCAATGTACGCTACCCTGACTCAATTTTTTAACCCCACACTAGCCAGGCTTTGCTATGGAGGGCCGTAAATTGTAGTCTACCGTGAAAAGTGCCAAAATTTTGGAAGTATTGGCCCATCTGGATGTCACAACATGCGTTCAACCGTCGCTCAATTGAACGACAAGCTCCCATTAAACGACGTGCTCTTATTGAGCGACAATTTTCGAAATAGAGCCACATCTTTTCTCTAACAGGAGAATCATGGTAACCAAATGATAGTAAATCTCAAAATGTGACGAAGCAGCTCGTGAAATCCAACTCACTCATCTCGTTGTTGTTCGGCGCGTAATAGGCGTCAACCTGTGCCGGACTTTGATACCACGTGCTTCTGTCCAACGGCTCATCCAAACGCTCCAATTCTTCTGAAATTTGCAAAAATTCCCGTATTCCGCAAATCCCAGCCACTCACCTTTGTAACGCTCCAATTTCAGACGGATTGTCAAATGGAGGAGTGGCTCGTTGTGCTCGATCACCTAGAATTGTGAGATTGACTCGATTTCCAGCATCTAGTTAACTCTTCGAATTTAGGGGGAATTAAAGGGGAAAGGTACTATTGGAGTTATGATCATTGTAAGTATTACTGTGTTGTGCTTAGACTTGATGTAGAAGTTAAACTTTTAAAGGATTTTTTAGCTCACTGCTTACTATTGAAATATGTCTATTTTATGCCCGCCAATGACCGTTTAATGTTGATTTGCATAATCTTTGCGTCAACTCGATTTTATGGGAAATTTTATTCTCAAAAAACTTTCAAAAGCTGGCCAAACTATTTTGCTGTAATTCGTTGCTTGAATACTTTTTTCCAAGAAGAGATATTGTTGCTGATATTCGTGCAAGAAAGATTAAAGCATCAAAGAGGGAGTTCAGGAATTTTGCGAATCCTGAAAGGACGATGACGAGGGTCACGTTTCAAGGGGATGAGGTGATTGAAATAACTGTACTGGTTATTCAATAAAGAACTGGAAGAAATTAAAAATTGATATTTATTGATTTTTGTCCAGGATATCCGAATTGAGGACTCGATTCGATCAGAGCCGACTCGACCAGCTCGTCTACTTGCTGAAGTTGATGTGAGAAATGGGATACCCGTTTTTGAAGGTTTGACATAAAAGATATTCAATGTACGTAATTGAATACGATCTAATACTTGTTATCATCCATTTTTCGTTTGTTTTGGCTTGGCTCTTGGCTTTTGAGGCTTTTGATCGCTTTGTTTTCAATGTTCTTTACCTTCTCACCTTAAATTTACATATTAAAGTTAGCATCTTGCTAAAATTTATTTATAAAACAAATTTCACAATCATAAAGGTAACGTAATCGTCATTTATTTACTTGTCTAACTTGGGATTCGATGGGTTTCTTGAAGAAGATTTTTGCGAAAAAGGAGAAACAAAGCGATAAAGTGATTGGTTAGTTTATTTATTACACTTTTTACTTACCGTAAATACTGTAATAGTACTCCACCCCAGACAGTGCGGAGTGTTGCGTAGTCTAGCCTTGAACGAGTTTTTCTCGACACTGATTTATGCTACAATGCGCGCTTAGGTATCAAAAAATAGCTGAAATTCAGGGCTATTTTTTGATACCAAAGACGCATTTTTTGAAAGTACGGGCGCTTGAAAAAATGAAATACTAAAAACTTTTGCGACTACGCGACTGTACGAGGGGTGCGGTACTATTACAGTATTTACGGTAAGATTTTTGAAAAACTATTTATCATTTCAATTTGTGCTTAAATTTCAAATCTTGACACTCTATGTTTATCTTGAATTTTTTGAGGCCTTCTAGATTTTTTTTTCCTTCTCTTTCCTGCTAGAACGGATGTCGTTTCCCTACCTTAAAAAATGGCCATTTCACGTGTGTTTCCCCTTTCTCAAAAGTGGATATTTGGTTTTTACTTGTTTCTTTGAATAGAGGCTACTTTTAAGAGTGATATTGCACGCATAATTCACAATTCTTCATCCTATTCTAGCTGTTCAAGTTAGTCATCAAAACGATGACTATCCGCACTCTCAATCAATATTCCCAAAATTGCATATGCTCAGCTGAAAGCATATGCTTGTTTTCCATTGAATACGTGTCTTCTCTCGCTTTCTGTTCATATATTCCCCATTTTTTTGCACATCATCGATGAAAATCGATTGTTTTTATGGGAAAAAGGAAAGGATTGAATGAGAATTGCAAATTTCTGAATTTGCCTTTACAATGTTTTCAATTTTGGCTTAAATTTTTACTTTTATCCTTTCTCCAATGAAAAATCAATTTGATCAGATGCATGGGTTGCGGTCCGAGCAAGCAGATCCCAAAAGCGGCTAGGCCAACTGCTGCCATTCAGCCGATAACCCGGGAGAGTTCGACGAGAAGATCGAAGCTGAAGAATCCGTTTGGAGGTGGGAGGATCTTGATCAACCTTTGATTTACTCTTATCTGAAGTTTGACTAGAGATGATTTCATGTTGACAAGCGCCAAAGCAACAAAATAACTTGGTTTTTCATTTGCCAAGCGTCTATCATATATAAACACTCCAGATTTGCAAATTTAACTTTAAAGCACTGATTGGAAATTGGAAATTGAGTCTAGTATCTCCACTAGACTCAATTTCCAATCAGTAAATTTAAAAGGAAATCCCTCAAAATTCTTCCCGATTCGTAGTAAACGGAGAAACGAACACTGATTTGTTATCACTTTGGTTCCATTCCCCTTCTCAATCCTTTTTCCATTCATTCAATTTCTTTGTTGTCTGTTCATTCTGTGAACAGAACTATTAAAATGACAGCCGATTGCCCTTCCAATTATCGCAATCTTTCCCCTCTCAAGACATTGTTGGAATCTCTTTTTTCCTCACTTTTTTCTTTCTTTTGCAGTTTATCAATACTTTGATCTCCCATCGTTGTGACTTTACCAGATATTTTTTCACAATTCAAAGTTCTTGTGCTGAGATGGATCAATCTGCTGATCGAATGGAGACTTCAAAGGAGGATACTGTAGAGGATCAAATGCAAATTTTGGATGTATGCAAGGAAAATGGACATTTCTCACATGGAAATACACTTCTGAGCGAACAAAACGAAGATTCGTCAAAAATCTTGATCAAATACCACCAGAGCTCTGAAGTTTCCTTGCAGACTCTATCAACAAGTGAAGAGGTTTTGCAAGAAGTTGAAAAAGATTGTATTGAATCGATTGACTCTTCTGAAGCTCATGAAATCGCTCAGAATACGACTATCGGAGAACCGACAGCTGCAGAGAACCAGAGGAATCCTCTTTGTCCTAAGAAATCGATTCCGATAATTACAATCAGTTTGGAAGAGGTTACAAATTTTGATATGAATAAGCAGGAATTGATAGAAACTGATGAAACACCGATTCTGAGCACCGAGGATCAACTACCGCATCAAGAACAAATCGAGGACACAAAACAAAAAGATACCATTGTTTTTGAATTGTCAAATCTGGAAAAAAAGAGTGTGGTGGTCTTGGAAGCAATCAAGGAAGAAACTGGAGCCGAAGTGACTCCAGATCTAGAGTCTTCACAAAGTGATCACCTCATTGTTACCAAAGAGGAGAATTACGCAAGTGACCAAGAAGTTTCGACAACAACAATATCGCCGACAATAAACATGGATTCAGTCGCTAGTCGATCTACAGAATTTGAGAATTCAACGCATTTACCTACAAATGTTGAGGAGTCGAAGTTGGATAATGAGGCTTTGACAGATTTTGAAACAATTGATCAAAAAAAGGTTGGAAAAGTGTCTAATGAATCAAAAGCCGTAGGTCAAGACCCAATAAAAGAGGGAGCCGGGAATTTGGAAGCTAACGTTGAAAAAGTGACTCCAAATCTAGACTCTTCTTCGAAAGTTGAACACCCCCATTGTATTGAAGCTTCAACAGTAACTCCTGTTCACACCCATCTATCAACCAATTCAACAACTCTTCTCAAAAATTGTCCTTTGAGTGAGAAAAATGATGAAATGGATGATGAATCAGATGTTTTGAGAGATAAATCGAGTGTTAGAGGAGATGTGAAAAATCGACAAGAAAATGGAGGAGGCATTCAAACAAATCAACCACCGCAACAACAGTCATCTCCACAAATATTGACTGTTGTTGAGATTGATACCACTTCTATTCAGCTAGTAGAAGACAGCGGCAAAGAGGAGAAAATGAAGGAGGTGCGTGAGTTTCAACTCTAAAAGTCTTTGAGAAGCCTTTTTCCTTTAGTAGAGACTACGGACGTCCAGGCTTTGTATCAGCTTACTAGCGTATTTCTAGATCTGTCATAACACTTGAACCCGATTTTCTTTGAGATCAACAGTTTTACTTGTAGCAAGTGAATCTTCGAAGGAATCTTCGATCGGCAGTTTCACTTCGAGACGAGAGCAACACTTCACCGACCCCTCCACCCCGACGACTCTCGTTGAGAAGACAGACAGTGCAGACAGCTTCAGAATACAGTGGACTGAACAGTCCAGATCGACGAAGTCTTGTCTCTTTACCGAGGGGAAGACTGTATTTCCCGTCGAATGGTCTCCCAGCTACACCAGGTACAGTTTGTTTTCTGTTGATTAGTACAGAACTGTGCTTCTGAACTTAAAACGTATAGCTGAAGCTGGTTATCCAAAAAACAATTTCTTCTGTTTGTTTCATTGGCATTGTCAAACAAAATTTAGTCATACATCAAACTCAAATACTTCAAATCACACCACCTGGTGCTTTCTGTGGTTTGACAAATTTCGCAATCCTACATCTCATTAGCCCTTTGAGTCACTTTTCGTTCGCATTTCTGAGAAAACTACTCAATGAAAGATTTTGATAGAAACCCCCCATTGAGAAATACATTTTAAAAAGTTTTTCTTATTTCTTTTTTTATATTTTTTTTTCAAAGCGATGTCTAATGGGGTGAGTCACTCCCGTTCAAAAAAATCGAAATGGGGGAGAGACAACAACATCGAGAATAAGATGTCTTGCAAATCGATTCTTCTTTAATATTCGAATACTCAACTCGAACCTCACTGCCATAACTTGTTTTATTTATTCAACTTGGTTAAGAGTAGAATAAACTTGAAGATCAAAGTCTAGCCGCTGAACTTTTTCCCTCTTAATTTTTCGGTTAACCCTCGGAAAAAGCATTACGGCCTTCATGCATACACACTAACAAGTAGTAAACGTTGTTTTTATTGGGTTTGCATTGGGAAAAGAAGGAAGGAAAGGAAGAAGGGAAGAAGGGAAGAAGGAGTGGTTGAAAGACCGCTCGTCGATTTTTGTGCCCCGCTCGTCTTTGTGCACGTTTTTTACCCCCTTTCGCCACTCTATGAGATCACTCGGCTACTCTATGGGGTCAAAGAAATTTTAAAACCTCTTTGAATTTGGCTAGTCAGTTGTTTTACTATGTGTTTGATCAATACATGTACTACGGTAGGTACTCTAAAGGCTTGTAGCTCTTTAGACTATAAAGAAGTTTGAAACTTGCTACTTTTTTTGACTTGTAAGCTTTGACTGGATCCTTCCCGTGCTACATCTCTTTTTCTGAATACCGTCGAATCGATCCCGCACTGCTCGCTCGTCTACGCACTTGCATTTCCCTTTAAAAATTTCCATTTCCAAAAGTTTTGCTGACAATAGCAGAAGAGAAAATGTATGAAAAGAGACTTTAATAAACAAATCGATTTTGAAAAGATGATGAATGTAACTATAGAAATAAAAATAATAACTTTTCAAAATGGGCTTCGAGTTTTGAACGTGTTCAGCATTGCTTGAAGAGATGAGGAAGAAAGGAAAGATTTCGAATAAGAACCTAACAACTTATCTAGTCGAGTTTGTAGATGTTGATCTCTAGCTTCATCCAATTAAATTCATGGTCAACAAGAGAGCAAAAAAATGATGTGAATCGGTTGTAAAAAAAGCGGTGCTAAGAGGTGATTTGTAAAGAGGAAATGGGGGAAGGAATTGAAGAGGAAAGAAGGACAACAGGGAATGACCAGCTGACTCTTCTATGAGAAGATGGGAAATGAATGAAAGGAAAGGAATGGAATGGAATGGATCGACTGCAAGGGTTTCATATGAAACACTTCGTAGTAGTCGATGGAAATTCGAATGCATAGCACAAACAATTTTGGTGTTTCGTTCCGGAGAACTGGATTTTGAAAGTTAATAAGATTGTACCAAATAAAGTTTTCAATTGGCTTAAAGATTTTTCATAAGATATTAATTGGCTTAAAGATTTCTGAAAAACAAGATTTCAAGAAAAGATTTCTCAAGGCGTGTTTATCTCGTTGTTGTCTTGAACAGCTCATCTTTCTGTAACTGATGACTTGTCAGATGTCAATAAAAAGCAATTTCAGAAAAAGTTGATCAATAAAACAAAAATTGTTTTAGAGTTGATTGATTTGGACAAAGTTTTGTAAATGAAGGAAAACTTTGAGAAATCCAGTTGTTCCTTTGTGGTCAAATCTGGGATGGGTCGATTTTGATGTCAACAGGGAACAAGCTGACTAGAGAAAATCAAAGTCTGGAAAAGCATAAGAAAAGGAGGAAAAAAGGGGAATGGAAAAAAGAAAGAGGATATCCGTCTTCTTCCTTTTTCTTTTCTTTTCCCTTCCAGTTTTCTCTCATTTAGGGTCCCTCTTTGGGTCTCTTTAGTTGGGGGAAAGGGTCCTCACATTGCAAAAATGCACTCTACCCTCACCGTGAGAGATGATCGATCATTTTTGAGTAACCAGCGCTGAAATTAAAAACTCGGTAAGTTCGATTTAAGGATTTATGCACATATTGGGTTGGTTTATAGGTTTGGGTAGAATTCTGCAAAGCAAAAACTGGGGGAATGAAAGGGAAAGGTACTATTGGAGTTATGACCATTGTAAGGATTACTGTGTTGTGCTTAGACTTGATGTAGAAATTAAACTTTTAAAGGATTTTTTTAGCTCACTGGTTACTGCCTGGAATTGCGCGAGCTGATTTTTGATCTGTCTCGCCAAGCAAATCTAGTATAGGTCAAGTTGAATTAAAGTTTGTTTTAGCTAGCCTTGGCTTTGGATTTCTTATCAAAATTGTCTTGAATAGTTGCTAATTTTCTGATCAACTTAATCTCTAAAGGTTTTCAGTGGGCGTTCTCGGAATGTCAATCATGACAAGTCTAGCTCCTCTTCTTGCTGGTATTCACTATTGGGCTTTCTTCTTTAGTCGAACGATTCAAGGAATTTCTGGGGTAAAACAAATTCGAAAAATTGATTGGTTTACAATTCCAAAATTTCCATATTTAGGGTTTTTTCTTTTCGGCTGGATGTGCTCTGGCAAGTCGATGGTTTCCGGCAAATGAAAAGTCCACCTTGGCAGCGATTTATGGAAGTGGCAGTGGGGTTCGTCATTTATTTGACTGGTTGAGACCAGGTGATCTCTACATGCCATATAGCCGGTATACAGGGTGTCTCAAAAGTCCCCGGACTCGGTATTTCTGCATTTTTGGTGATGTTAGATAAAAGCTGCAATTTTAAAAGTAAAAAATCTAATTTCTCGTGAAAAACTGATTCAGAAAACGCTTCTGGTTAATTTACAGGTGCAACACGATTTCAGACAAGTGATTGAGAAAAGGACCTGAGAAGGGGTACTTTAATCGCAAATTTTTTTGGGGTTTCGAGCCTGTAACTTTTTTGGATCAAAAGATTTTCAAGAACCAAGATACTTTTCAAAAACTAGACATAAAATGTGACATTTTTTATATTGAGTGTTTAAAGTTTTAGTCAACGAGTCGGGAATCAGATTGAAACTTGATTTGTCTAAATTGACTCCATTTCGAACACTCCAATTCCATTTAAGGTTTGTTTGTACGGATTGAAACTGATATTATTATGACTTGGGCTTGACAATAGCTTATCGATTCTATTTTTTAACGGTTTGATCTTGACAAAGGGACCGATCGTTCCAATTGAGACGGTCATCGTCACAGTCATTGTGCAGTTTGCTGCGTCAGCTGGGGTTTGATTTTTATATTCTTCTTTAATGCGTTTAGATCTATAATGTCAATGAAATAAACCGTCTTGAAATTAAAATCTACTTTTAGAACGATTACGAGCAATCGCAAACGGTCAATCTCAAAGAAGAGGATTATTTCAACACGAATTTCTTGCTTCAATTTTTGAGTTCTTTTATCGGTTGATTTGCTTTTGTTTCCTGCTATTTTGTTGGGCAATTTGATTCTTTGTTTTTTGTGATCTCGGCAATTTTATATGGGTTTTGAGAGATTGGAAGAAAAATAAAAATTCTTTATAGTTGATGTTACTGTATAGAATTATGGAAGAAATTCCAGATTTTTGGATAGGGGTGGAGTCAGCCAAGTGGAACCAGGCAGTCTAATAAAAATTCAAAGTCTATAAAAGACCTTGGGTAATCGACGGGTTTTGTTGCCTGTTTTCTCGTTTTCTTATCGTTAATCCGATTTTTTTAAAGTTAGGTAATAGTTTTAGGCTTGTAAACTTTGGTACAGCCTTTTGTACTCTTCTACTTTTGTAAATTACCTAAAATAGTCATTGGTTTTTGAAATTGTACAGCAAGGTCGGGCCAAAAAGTTGGCTTGACTCCTTATTAACTACTACTAATTAGCTAAACATTGCTCAATAGTGGTATTTCCCTATCCTAATCAGTCACAAGTGTCATTTGGAGTGAAAAGTTCTTAATGGAGTCGAATTTAAACGATAAAATAGCTGATGATTGACCGCGTTTAGATGAGATATAAACAATTTTTTCAACAATGATTCACTTTTGCTTTTTTCAAATTAATCTCTTTTCCATGTACTTTGTACGCAAAAATCCGTAAACACACCGCATCTGGTGCACTCAAATCTCAATGTTAATTTTATGCCAAAAATCAAAAAAGACAGTTTTGCACCATACCCACCAGTATACTTTTAAAGTACCGCCCACAAGTGTCCCAATTGCCAGAGGCAAATTAGGTTTTTTTGCGTTTTTCTCGCCGCTCATTTGACAGATTTGGCTGCACTCGTTTTCATTCAATTGCCCTGATTAATGTCTATACTTGTTCTTTTACTTTAAAAGTATACCCACCAGTACGGTCGCTAGTCAATATTTTTTCGGAAAAATCATTTTTTCTCAAAGCCTCATAATTTTTCCCAACCGCACTTTTTGTTTTGGCGTCATGATTTTTATTAAATAAATTCTCATTTTTATGATGAATTCTATAGAGCTTAGACTTAACGGCTCCGAATCTGATATTTTTTATTTCTACAACTTGGTTCATTTATATATAGTAACTTTAACTCTAGTATTCGCTTCCTTTCTTATTGCTAATCGTTTCAGGTAACCTCACCATGTCGTCCAAGAGGAAGAAAAACGATAGTTCGGACGAAGAAAGGTATTTAAATAATATAATCTATTTTATGTTATCGTTTTTTAGTGATGAAGTCGATTGGCAGAAGAGGTATCTGAATGTAAAAAAACTGTGTCAGGAGACGGAAAACGAACTGAAGGAGTCGCACGAAGAGATGGAAACGAAGCGCTTGGAGCTGATAGAAGCAGTTGCGAAGAATGAAAAGCTAGAAAGAGAATTGGTATGTTCTCTAATAACATGAATTTTCCGTAAAATCCCGATATTCTAGAAACCTGTTAACGATAAAGTCCTTCGATTCAAGTCAATGCTGAGTGCCGGAGGTGTTATCAAGTGGCTTGAGGAGTTTGTGCATTTTTCCGATTACTGTTTCGAATACTATAGTCTAAGTCCTACTAAACTCATGCTTCTTTCTAGAAGCTTTGGTTTGATTTTTCCTAATCCCTGCATTGAAAAATTCCATCGAATCATAGTGGTTTTTTAATGAAAAAGGATTTAAACGACGAGATGTGGAAATTAGGGCAATGGGCTAAATTCGTGATATTAGCAAAACTCTGTCAGACAGTCCAAATCTTACTCAACAGATTAGTGTTGAGTGCTTTCGAAAGTGTCCTTTTAAAAGTCTATTTGCAAATTTTGAACTTATGCTGATTGATAAGCTGTACTAGACGTATTTCAAAGTTTAAGGTTGGCGGCATAACTGATTAATTTTATTCAGTACAAAAGTGAGAAACTTCAACAATAGAAAAAATACCCGTGAGTTTAAAAGCAATCATTAATGTTTAGCCAACTGAAAATGATACATTTGGTGTTGCCAGACCGCTTTCCCCACTCTCAGCCTAAATTATAGTTTTCTTTTGATTCCTCGATTTCTTTTGAAATTTCTTGTTTAGCCATCGTCACGGCATCAACCCTCTTTTTTCGTCTCGCTATTACTAAAGAAAATCAAATGCATAAAAATTTTTCAAGTACTTACAGTCGTGATAAAACATCCGTGGATCGTGTTTTTTTGCGTCGCCCGTCGTCAATATTTTGTACATCATTGTGGTAGGGTCTTGAAAAACCTAAAAATATTGAAAAATGCAAAAAAAAAGAAGCAAACCTCGCGTAGAATTGGCATAGCTTTCGTGGAGTTTGAATTGAACTTTACGTGTCTACCGAGAGCCATCCTCATTCAAGTAGGGACGAACAAACACTGCCCTTTTGTGCGTATCGCCGTCACTTTCCCTAAAAATAAAATTCAGAAAAATTTCGATAAAATTACGCAAATGTTCTTTTTAATGACCTCAAAATTTACCTCTTATAACCAAAAGCTTCTGCAGTATTTCCATAGACTATCGGCTTGACAATGCTTTTGCCTCGAATGCGCTCATTTCCTTCATTAGCCATTGATCGATTGGCTGAAAATAGCAAAATTACGGAATCAAATAAAGCAAATAAAAACACAAAAAAAGCATCGTCAACTCTAAAGTAAAGAATTTAAGTAAAGTCTCGTCAACTCTTAAGTAAAGAATTTGACTGAAATTGACTATTTGAAAGCACAGAGAGAAATACCCTTTGCGTTAATGCGGAAAGGAGCGCGTCGCAAAGAAATTCAAATATTTACTCTCAAAAACTATATTTTTGGTATTCAGCCCCTTAACTTAAAATCTTTATCCATCTTGTTTGTATTCGGGTTTAGGCATTGTTGACAAATGGCTCTTTTTCAGAATCAAACTCTGAACACGTCAAAAGTGCTCCTTGCAGTCCGTCAAAGGCCTCCTGTCGGTCACATGAATGCAAAGGTGCTCTACACGACTTGTGTTCAACCATCATCGACTGTAAAGAAAGCGTCGAGACAAATTTCATCTTCTGCTGAAAGGTTAATGCTAGTCTGCTTATTATAGTTGTTCTAGATACGAAGTCTATCTATGGAATCCCGACACTGGAGAAGTTGGGGTTAATTCAAGTTGTATTCGGTATATTCACCTCATCTTTAGCTTCTTGCTGAAGCAAACGAGGATACGGATCTTATAACTGCGATAAAATGGGCAGTCGATGGAAGGTGTTTTGCCGTTGGTGGCGATACTGAAAGGGTTAAAGTAAAAGTACCTTCTAAGTTTAGATTGATGTTTATTGTTTAGCTCTACGATCCTACTAAAAATAAGAAATTGCGAAAACTCGATGCCGAGTGTGTTAGTAGAGCCACCTGCATGGTCTGGAAAGATCATATTTTGTGGATTGGATACAAAAGTGGTCAAGTCATTCCTCACGCCGTCCGAATAAGAAATTCGGTTGTTGGGTAAGTTATTTTGAGCCTCGGGTTCTCTAATCCTCTAATGATGCCATACTGGCTTCTACAAACTAATCTCTACTAGCCCACCCCTAGCTTCATACTAATAAGGGTAGAGGGTGCTATATTATGGAGCGGAAAACGGCAGGAATTAAAGTATGATATTTTAGTGTGCTTGATGGGGATTCACAGCTAGTTTGTGGCATTCATTGGTCAATCGATGGATCTCAATTGGCCACAGGTGGAGGGGCCAATCTCGTCAACATTTGGGATGCCCAACTTGTCAACACACGTAATCAGGTTTGATTTTTTCACGAAAAAATAAACCAATTGTTTAGTCACCCGCTTTTTCTTTGAATGACCACACGGCTTCTGTAAAGGCCGTCCGATTCTCAAACTTCGAGAGAGGTTTACTGGCAACCGGCGGTGGACAGGATGATCCTCATGTGTGCTTATGGGATACCCAAACAGGCGCGCTGACAAAAACCTTGAAAGTTGGATCACAGGTAATTCAAGTGTTTCATTCAAGAGTGAGCTAGTGTTTTTAGATCACAGCCATTCGATTCAATAAAGACTATAACGAGGTGATTGTCGGACTTGGGCGAACTTCGAACTGCATCAAAATCTTCAAACATCCTTCTTATGCTGAGGTCGCCAATATTGCTGGTTTATATGGGTTTATGCAAAGTAGCTTTTATTGTTTCAGGGCACACTGACCGTATTTTGGGATTGTCGATGTCTCCTTGTGGTCAATACGTAATTAGTGCCAGCGCTGATGAATCTCTCCGTTTGTGGCACTTTTTCCAAGTACACTTCAACACTTTTAACAAAGTAATTTTTATATTTAGTATTCTATCTATTTTAGGTTGACAAGAGCACACAACTTCTGCAACAAAAAAGAAGCAAATTTTCCACACTTGATGCTTTGCGTTAATTGGCACTTATGGGTTATACTCTCAAACATTTGGTTGAGAATGGGGGGGGGGGGGGGGTAGTATTGATTCACCACGGGCTGTATAACCCACAAGTACCCGTTGATTGTAAATACGCTTGTTTTTTTCGTTGAGATAATTCGATTTCGTGCTAAGATTCTAAATTTTGGCCAATAGACCTAAACGTTTTTCTATATGTATTTATTGATCTCTTTCACATGTGTTGCTAAGTGAATAAACTTTGATTATCACCGAACCTCAAGCAAAAAGCGACGATAGCTCCGTGCCCTAATCTCCCCGAAGGCGACAGTGTGATTCGACTGTAGCAACCCGGAAGCAACCAACACGGTCTTGTGGCGTTGGCACCATCCACACCAAAGTCCAACTAGATTCAAGTTTTAGCAGACGATGCAAATGCGTCTAGAAGCTTTCGTGCTAGAACAGAGAATGGGGCCTCAAGAACGAGAAGACCCGACTCAAAAAGGAAGTACGAAACGCGGAAAAAATCCAGAGCTATTAAAACAAAACACTTGTGTTAACACAATTTGCGTGTAAACTGCACCAGCATGACCAGTTCTTGAAGTCATATAAGCCGTTCCAAATAACAAGAGCTTTCAAAAATCACAAAAGGTTTGAAATGTCGAAATTCGTGCCCAACGCATCGAATTACCCAGGAAAAATCACACTTCAGAATTTTGACTAGTTATGATTGAAATTGGATCATAAAAATGGCAAATTTCTATATTTTCCTCGGAAAAATGAATAAACCAAGCTAATTTTGGTTTAACAAAAAGAATTTGTAGAAAGAATACTAAAATTGCGGTAAAAATTGACCCCAAAGATTTGGGCTTGTAAAAATTAGAGCGGAAATGTCGGAATAAACTTTGACCCAATGATGCTGCTACTCAACACTTTTTATTTAAAATTTATTTGCTATTTTCTAACCTTACGATACCAGTAATGACACTCGTAATGCCTTTATAGAGAGTGTCCCAGGATTTTGGAGACAAGAGCGATCAATAAAGAAAAAAGAAAAATTTTAACTCAATAACGTTCATTGATATTTAAAAACTATAGATCAACAATCTAATTCGAATCAGTCTTCCTCGCCGTTGCTAAAGGCCTGCAAACTGCAAACGTTGGGAAAAGCGTTCACGGTGGCGAACAAGTGAACAATTGATGGAAATTTACAGAATCCGGCAAAAGTTCTGACACTTTTTCTGTAAGCAGTCATTTTTTTGGCTTGAAAAACCCGTGAATTTCAAAAAACCAACGCCGGATTCTAAAAATTTAGGTAGTTTCACCCCAATATAGCCATTTTCATAAAAAGATCTCAACTCTCAACAACTTTTTGACGAGAATTTTTTATATTCCGGTCTGGTCGCTGAAGATTTTTGCGAAAGTTGACTTAAACTTTGCAGAATAAAATTTTTTCCAAAAACTGCTGTTACCATTTGATAGATCTGAGCTTTTTCTTGAAAACAAGCCACAAAAAAACTTTATATCTCAAAAACGAAAGATTTTCAAGCGATTCTACGAAGGGCACCCAAATCTCAACAGCAAAAAAAAAGTGCTGTAACGACCTTTAAACATCCTCATCAAAACGTTGTTTAGATGGCAATTTTTGTGTAAAAAAGTATATTAGACGGTAAAAATATCTATCTATCTGAATTTTGAAAAACTAACACCGGATTATGAAAATTCAGATAGATAGATATTTTTTTTTTTTTTATAGATCCGTTTTCAATTTAACCTTCTTGTTAGTGATTTATTTTATTGTAACTTCAATGTTGGAAAACGGGTGGGAGGGGGAACCCCGTATCCCCATTCTGGTTGCTGGATATAACTGAGATGAGAGATAGGGAAAGCATAATTGAAGAGCACATGAATCTCTTCACGAACAAGATAAAAATCAGTCAAAAGAGAAAGGAAAATTATAAAAAATTTCTTTGTGTGCAAATTGCGGGAGGAGGTAAAACTAATTGATGCCTAACTGTACCAAATGGTTGAGAGTATAACCCATAAGTGCCAATTAACGCAAAGCATCAAGTGTGGAAAATTTGCTTCTTTTTTGTTGCAGAAGTTGTGTGCTCTTGTCAACCTAAAATAGATAGAATACTAAATATAAAAATTACTTTGTTAAAAGTGTTGAAATGTACTTGGAAAAAGTGCCACAAACGGAGAGATTCATCAGCGCTGGCACTAATTACGTATTGACCACAAGGAGACATCGACAATCCCAAAATACGGTCAATGTGCCCTGAAACAATAAAAGCTACTTTGCATAAACCCATATAATCCAGCAATATTGGCGACCTCAGCATAAGAAGGATGTTTGAAGATTTTGATGCAGTTCGAAGTTCGCCCAAGTCCGACAATCATCTCGTTATAGTCTTTATTGAATCGAATGGCTGTGGCCTAAAAACACTAGCTCACTCTTGAATGAAACACTTGAATTACCTGTGATCCAACTTTCAAGGTTTTTGTCAGCGCGCCTGTTTGGGTATCTCATAAGCACACATGAGGATCATCCTGTCCACCGCCGGTTGCCAGTAAACCTCTCTCGAAGTTTGAGAATCGGACGGCCTTTACAGAAGCCGTGTCGTCACTCAAAGAAAAAGCGGGTGACTAAACAATTGGTTTATTTTTTTGTGAAAAAATCAAACCTGATTACGTGTGTTGACAAATTGGGCATCCCAAATGTTGACGAGATTGGCCCCTCCACCTGTGGCCAATTGAGATCCATCGATTGACCAATGAATGCCACAAACTAGCTGTGAATCCCCATCAAGCACACTAAAATATCATACTTTAATTCTTGCCGTTTTCCGCTCCATAATATAGCACCCTCTACCCTTATTAGTATGAAGCTAGGAGTGGGCTAGTAGAGATTAGTTTGTAGAAGCCAGTATGGCATCATTAGAGGATTAGAGAACCCGAGGCTCAAAATAACTTACCCAACAACCGAATTTCTTATTCGGACGTCGTGAGGAATGACTTGACCACTTTTGTATCCAATCCACAAAATATGATCTCTCCAGACCATGCAGGTGGCTCTACTAACACACTCGGCATCGAGTTTTCGCAATTTCTTATTTTTAGTAGGATCGTAGAGCTAAACAATAAACATCAATCTAAACTTAGAAGGTACTTTTACTTTAACCCTTTCAGTATCGCCACCAACGGCAAAACACCTTCCATCGACTGCCCATTTTATCGCAGTTATAAGATCCGTATCCTCGTTTGCTTCAGCAAGAAGCTAAAGCTTCAGCAAGAAGCTTCAGCAAGAATTTCTTTGCGAAGCGCTCCTTTCCGCATTAACGCAAAGGGTATTTCTCTCTGTGCTTTCAAATAGGAGTCAATTTCAGTCAAATTCTTTACTTAAGAGTTGACGATGCTTTTTTTTGTGTTTTTATTTGCTTTATTTGATTCCGTAATTTTGCTATTTTCAGCCAATCGATCAATGGCTAATGAAGGAAATGAGCGCATTCGAGGCAAAAGCATTGTCAAGCCGATAGTCTATGGAAATACTGCAGAAGCTTTTGGTTATAAGAGGTAAATTTTGAGGTCATTAAAAAGAACATTTGCGTAATTTTATCGAAATTTTTCTGAATTTTATTTTTAGGGAAAGTGACGGCGATACGCACAAAAGGGCAGTGTTTGTTCGTCCCTACTGGAATGAGGATGGCTCTCGGTAGACACGTAAAGTTCAATTCAAACTCCACGAAAGCTATGCCAATTCTACGCGAGGTTTGCTTCTTTTTTCTATCAATGAAAGTTAATTTGAGAATTTAGTAGTGGAGCAACCACCATTTGAAGTCACGGAGACGGGCTGGGTGAATTTGAAGTACAATGCGAATTTATTTTGCCGACCAAAACAAAAACCAGTCGGTGTCCAAGTCTTTTTCACAAACTGAGTTTCAAATTTAGGTAACCGCTTTTCATTACCTTCGATTATTTCAACCAGTGTTCAATGTCAGTGGAGGTACCGTCGTCGCTGCCGAATTTTACGATGAAATTGTAATGTGTTATTTTTTTGCATTTTTCAATATTTTTAGGTTTTTCAAGACCCTACCACAATGATGTACAAAATATTGACGACGGGCGACGCAAAAAAACACGATCCACGGATGTTTTATCACGACTGTAAGTACTTGAAAAATTTTTATGCATTTGATTTTCTTTAGTAATAGCGAGACGAAAAAAGAGGGTTGATGCCGTGACGATGGCTAAACAAGAAATTTCAAAAGAAATCGAGGAATCAAAAGAAAACTATAATTTAGGCTGAGAGTGGGGAAAGCGGTCTGGCAACACCAAATGTATCATTTTCAGTTGGCTAAACATTAATGATTGCTTTTAAACTCACGGGTATTTTTTCTATTTTTGAAGTTTCTCACTTTTGTACTGAATAAAATTAATCAGTTATGCCGCCAACCTTAAACTTTGAAATACGTCTAGTACAGCTTATCAATCAGCATAAGTTCAAAATTTGCAAATAGACTTTTAAAAGGACATTTTCGAAAGCACTCAACACTAATCTGTTGAGTAAGATTTGGACTGTCTGACAGAGTTTTGCTAATATCACGAATTTCTTTGGAAAAGGTAAATTAAAGTATATTCCGCTTTTTAGGGAGCCAAAAAAGTTCAGAAGCAAAGTAGCTTCAAGTGCCTCATTGACCACATTGCGAAACAATCATTGTTCTTTTTGTTGTCATTTTTTCACTATAAATGCTCATTTTCCCCTCTAGGTTTCGACATTTCTTATTGCTTATTCATAATGAGACTCATATTAAGTAAGTGCAACAAACACTATCTATTTCGTTATTGTGCTTAGTAGTATACAGGCACCATTTCCAGGATAGCCCATTCCCCTAATTTCCACATCTCGTCGTTTAAATCCTTTTTCATTAAAAAACCACTATGATTCGATGGAATTTTTCAATGCAGGGATTAGGAAAAATCAAACCAAAACTTTATTCAATAGAAAAATTACATGGAATGGTAGCACAAATGGCTTTAAGAACATCCTTCTGAGCAGTGGTATAACCCTGACCTGAGATCTCAAGTCCATTGCTCGAGGCAGATGATTGTACATTGGCGGCAGCATTCTGGAGAATCTCGTCCACTATCTTTGCAACTCGCTGAGCAGTCGATCGCGGAAAGTATGAGCGAACTTCCTTGGAGAACTTGCTATCATTATCGAAGATCCATTTCCATCGGTCGTGTCGAGCACCGTCTTTCGCGTCAAGCGGCATTTCCCGTCCAACGTCTTTTCGCTTTTCTCTAAAATTTAAAAAATTGCAAATCATATAGAATTTAAATCTATCTGCTAAAGCCTTAAAAGTTAAACTATAACAACTCTAATGGCAAATTTCTCATAGCTTCTAGAAAGAAGCATGAGTTTAGTAGGACTTAGACTATAGTATTCGAAACAGTAATCGGAAAAATGCACAAACTCCTCAAGCCACTTGATAACACCTCCGGCACTCAGCATTGACTTGAATCGAAGGACTTTATCGTTAACAGGTTTCTAGAATATCGGGATTTTACGGAAAATTCATGTTATTAGAGAACATACCAATTCTCTTTCTAGCTTTTCATTCTTCGCAACTGCTTCTATCAGCTCCAAGCGCTTCGTTTCCATCTCTTCGTGCGACTCCTTCAGTTCGTTTTCCGTCTCCTGACACAGTTTTTTTACATTCAGATACCTCTTCTGCCAATCGACTTCATCACTAAAAAACGATAACATACAATAGATTATATTATTTAAATACCTTTCTTCGTCCGAACTATCGTTTTTCTTCCTCTTGGACGACATGGTGAGGTTACCTGAAACGATTAGCAATAAGAAAGGAAGCGAATACTAGAGTTAAAGTTACTATATATAAATGAACCAAGTTGTAGAAATAAAAAATATCAGATTCGGAGCCGTTAAGTCTAAGCTCTATAGAATTCATCATAAAAATGAGAATTTATTTAATAAAAATCATGACGCCAAAACAAAAAGTGCGGTTGGGAAAAATTATGAGGCTTTGAGAAAAAATGATTTTTCCGAAAAAATATTGACTAGCGACCGTACTGGTGGGTATACTTTTAAAATAAAAGAACAAGTATAGACATTAATCAGGGCAATTGAATGAAAACGAGTGCAGCCAAATCTGTCAAATGAGCGGCGAGAAAAACGCAAAAAAACCTAATTTGCCTCTGGCAATTGGGACACTTGTGGGCGGTACTTTAAAAGTATACTGGTGGGTATGGTGCAAAACTGTCTTTTTTTGATTTTTGGCATAAAATTAACATTGAGATTTGAGTGCACCAGATGCGGTGTGTTTACGGATTTTTGCGTACAAAGTACATGGAAAAGAGATTAATTTGAAAAAAGCAAAAGTGAATCATTGTTGAAAAAATTGTTTATATCTCATCTAAACGAGGTCAATCATCAGCTATTTTATCGTTTAAATTCTACTCCATTAAGAACTTTTCACTCCAAATGACACTTGTGACTGATTAGGATAGGGAAATACCACTATTGAGCAATGTTTAGCTAATTAGTAGTAGTTAATAAGGAGTCAAGCCAACTTTTTGGCCCGACCTTGCTGTACAATTTCAAAAACCAATGACTATTTTAGGTAATTTACAAAAGTACAAAAGGCTGTACCAAAGTTTACAAGCCTAAAACTATTACCTAACTTTAAAAAAATCGGATTAACGATAAGAAAACGAGAAAACAGGCAACAAAACCCGTCGATTACCCAAGGTCTTTTATAGACTTTGAATTTTTATTAGACTGCCTGGTTCCACTTGGCTGACTCCACCCCTATCCAAAAATCTGGAATTTCTTCCATAATTCTATACAGTAACATCAACTATAAAGAATTTTTATTTTTCTTCCAATCTCTCAAAACCCATATAAAATTGCCGAGATCACAAAAAACAAAGAATCAAATTGCCCAACAAAATAACAGGAAACAAAAGAAAATCAACCGATAAAAGAACTCAAAAATTGAAGCAAGAAATTCGTGTTGAAATAATCCTCTTCTTTGAGATTGACCGTTTGCGATTGCTCGTAATCGTTCTAAAAGTAGATTTTAATTTCAAGACGGTTTATTTCATTGACATTATAGATCTAAACGCATTAAAGAAGAATATAAAAATCAAACCCCAGCTGACGCAGCAAACTGCACAATGACTGTGACGATGACCGTCTCAATTGGAACGATCGGTCCCTTTGTCAAGATCAAACCGTTAAAAAATAGAATCGATAAGCTATTGTCAAGCCCAAGTCATAATAATATCAGTTTCAATCCGTACAAACAAACCTTAAATGGAATTGGAGTGTTCGAAATGGAGTCAATTTAGACAAATCAAGTTTCAATCTGATTCCCGACTCGTTGACTAAAACTTTAAACACTCAATATAAAAAATGTCACATTTTATGTCTAGTTTTTGAAAAGTATCTTGGTTCTTGAAAATCTTTTGATCCAAAAATGTTACAGGCTCGAAACCCCAAAAAATTTGCGATTAAAGTACCCCTTCTCAGGTCCTTTTCTCAATCACTTGTCTGAAATCGTGTTGCACCTGTAAATTAACCAGAAGCGTTTTCTGAATCAGTTTTTCACGAGAAATTAGATTTTTTACTTTTAAAATTGCAGCTTTTATCTAACATCACCAAAAATGCCGAAATACCGAGTCCGGGGACTTTTGAGACACCCTGTATACCGGCTATATGGCATGTAGAGATCACCTGGTCTCAACCAGTCAAATAAATGACGAACCCCACTGCCACTTCCATAAATCGCTGCCAGGGTGGACTTTTCATTTGCCGGAAACCATCGACTTGCCAGAGCACATCCAGCCGAAAAGAAAAAACCCTAAATATGGAAATTTTGGAATTGTAAACCAATCAATTTTTCGAATTTGTTTTACCCCAGAAATTCCTTGAATCGTTCGACTAAAGAAGAAAGCCCAATAGTGAATACCAGCAAGAAGAGGAGCTAGACTTGTCATGATTGACATTCCGAGAACGCCCACTGAAAACCTTTAGAGATTAAGTTGATCAGAAAATTAGCAACTATTCAAGACAATTTTGATAAGAAATCCAAAGCCAAGGCTAGCTAAAACAAATTTTAATTCAACTTGACCTATACTAGATTTGCTTGGCGAGACAGATCAAAAATCAGCTCGCGCAATTCCAGGCAGTAACCAGTGAGCTAAAAAAATCCTTTAAAAGTTTAATTTCTACATCAAGTCTAAGCACAACACAGTAATCCTTACAATGGTCATAACTCCAATAGTACCTTTCCCCTTTCATTCCCCCAGTTTTTGCTTTGCAGAATTCTACCCAAACCTATAAACCAACCCAATATGTGCATAAATCCTTAAATCGAACTTACCGAGTTTTTAATTTCAGCGCTGGTTACTCAAAAATGATCGATCATCTCTCACGGTGAGGGTAGAGTGCATTTTTGCAATGTGAGGACCCTTTCCCCCAACTAAAGAGACCCAAAGAGGGACCCTAAATGAGAGAAAACTGGAAGGGAAAAGAAAAGAAAAAGGAAGAAGACGGATATCCTCTTTCTTTTTTCCATTCCCCTTTTTTCCTCCTTTTCTTATGCTTTTCCAGACTTTGATTTTCTCTAGTCAGCTTGTTCCCTGTTGACATCAAAATCGACCCATCCCAGATTTGACCACAAAGGAACAACTGGATTTCTCAAAGTTTTCCTTCATTTACAAAACTTTGTCCAAATCAATCAACTCTAAAACAATTTTTGTTTTATTGATCAACTTTTTCTGAAATTGCTTTTTTATTGACATCTGACAAGTCATCAGTTACAGAAAGATGAGCTGTTCAAGACAACAACGAGATAAACACGCCTTGAGAAATCTTTTCTTGAAATCTTGTTTTTCAGAAATCTTTAAGCCAATTAATATCTTATGAAAAATCTTTAAGCCAATTGAAAACTTTATTTGGTACAATCTTATTAACTTTCAAAATCCAGTTCTCCGGAACGAAACACCAAAATTGTTTGTGCTATGCATTCGAATTTCCATCGACTACTACGAAGTGTTTCATATGAAACCCTTGCAGTCGATCCATTCCATTCCATTCCTTTCCTTTCATTCATTTCCCATCTTCTCATAGAAGAGTCAGCTGGTCATTCCCTGTTGTCCTTCTTTCCTCTTCAATTCCTTCCCCCATTTCCTCTTTACAAATCACCTCTTAGCACCGCTTTTTTTACAACCGATTCACATCATTTTTTTGCTCTCTTGTTGACCATGAATTTAATTGGATGAAGCTAGAGATCAACATCTACAAACTCGACTAGATAAGTTGTTAGGTTCTTATTCGAAATCTTTCCTTTCTTCCTCATCTCTTCAAGCAATGCTGAACACGTTCAAAACTCGAAGCCCATTTTGAAAAGTTATTATTTTTATTTCTATAGTTACATTCATCATCTTTTCAAAATCGATTTGTTTATTAAAGTCTCTTTTCATACATTTTCTCTTCTGCTATTGTCAGCAAAACTTTTGGAAATGGAAATTTTTAAAGGGAAATGCAAGTGCGTAGACGAGCGAGCAGTGCGGGATCGATTCGACGGAGTTCCGTCTCCGCTAGGGATATTGAAGCCATTCAGAGGGCTATGCAGGTTCAATCAAATCGTCAGTTCAATCAAAAAATCAGCTTTCAGAAACAGCGAGTCATCTCTAACCAATTGATCACCGTTCTCCTCTTCGTGCTCCCCACATTTTCCATGTTCTACGCACAGTTAATCTTCATGAATTCCGGGCAATTCTATCAGGTTTGACAAAGTGAAATGAGATTTGTCTAAGATCCCCTTCCAGACCTTGATTTCCCTCTTCCGACCCCCATTCCTTCTACCACCAATCATCGATATCGTTGCATGGAAGATTGTGGCTGTTCTCCTCTCGATACAACTTCTTTTCTATTGGTTTTTACCTCAAGACACTGTCATGGTACTCTCCACATCTATTGGTGAATTTGAACGATATCTTTTAAAGAAAGAATTCCAGGAGATCATCGAAAAGCTGTGAACGGTTTCTCTTCATTTCTTCTCATGTTATTGCTCTTCCCATTGGGAGCAGCTCTCAAATTTTATAGGTTTAATAATATTGATATTGATTTGAAACATTTTCTTCGTACTCGAATTACTCTCACTTTATGAGCACTTCACTCCGTGTTCCAACCAAGATTTCCAGACCCGATCTCATCTTTCTCCATTTTCATTCGATTATCGGTTGCTTGGCAATATTGGCGATTTTCACGATGATTATTTTATATGTCAGCTATAGATTAGGCGATCAGAATACAAGTGAGTCTTCTTAACTTGAAAGAATATTCGAATTTCAGTCGATTCACTGAACGAATTCTTCTTTGGAGTTGAAATCTACCCAACATGGGCTGATATTGATTTGAAACATTTCCTTCGTACTCGAATCACTCTCACTTTATGGGCACTTCACTCGATTTCGGCTCTATTCCATCAACGACATTTGAAGGGACAAATTGAAAGTAAAACTTCTTGTAAAACTGTGAACAGTACCCAATCTCTTATTAAATTTATTAAATGGGTTATTAAACCGGATCTCTTCTCAACTCTTGATCTGCTAAAGTATTCAAAATCAATGATTCATTTACAGTTTCCGCCCTCTGTTTGTGTCTCCTTCAACTCTTCTACATCTTCAAATCTCTTTGGAATGAAGATCTAATGCTGAATGCGCTTGATTCACGACGAGCCAAGTGTGGCTTCTATCGGATATGGGGAGATTTGGTGAGCCTTTCTTCTCCTTTCCCCAAAATCGATTCCAGGTGTTTTTCCCTCTTCTCTATTGTGCACCAATCACTACCATAGTTCAACTGAATATCCGAATCTCTTTCCCCGCCTATATTGCACTTATGCTTATCGGGACGATTCTTATCTTTTTCAGCTCATTCGTTGAAAGACAAAAATATGATTTTCGGATAAAGAAAGGTTTGAGGAAAGAGTAACGTTACAGATTTATAACAAGTGAGTTCTTTTCAATTCTCACTCAATTTCAATCTTATTAAAGACATCTTTTTTCGAGAGATTTCTCATAAGCCAACTCATGATTGTTTTAAGCATTACAGTATATGAAAACATAGTAGACATCGGAAAAGTAGACGTCGTCGCATTGAATTTCGTCAAACAGCTTTCAAATAATCATTTAATATCATAAACTTTAACCAACATATCAAACAAAATAATAAAAAAAATCAAGAATTTAATTAACAATGATTTTCTCTGAATTTGAGAGAAGAATATGGATCCCTACTAGACATGGGAAAATTCTAACCCAAACCAAATTCCGCCTTCGTTTCCTTAGCCGTCTCTTGCCCGATTGCTCTAAAATTTTGTCTACAAGCAGAATGCCAATTTCTATTTGTAAACAAAATTTCATAAAAATCGGCCAAGAGCCAAAAGAAATGTGGAATTGGGTTTGGGTTGGAATTTTCTTATCTCTAAAACATACCGTAAATACCGTACTGTAATAGTACCCCACCCCCATAATGACGGTGCGAATTGTTGCGTAGTCTAGCTTTGGACGAGTTTTTCTCGACACTGGTTTATGCTACAATGCGCGCTTAGGTATCAAAAAATAGCTGAAATTCAGGGCTATTTTTTTGATACCAAAGACGCATTTTTGAAAGGGCGCTTTGTAAAAATGAAATACTAAAAAACTTTTGCGACTACGCGACCGTACGAGGGGCGTGGGGTACTATTACAGTATTTACGGAAGGTTTATTTGCTTGTTTGACTAGATGAGAGATCAGAGTTGATCAGAGAAACTTCTTGCAGGTATGGTGAAGATCTCTGGCAACGATCCATTCTTCATTCAGGCTCGATACAAAACAGAAACCGGTGATGGTGCCTATAATTTACTATTAGGTATGTTAATTTTAAAAGTATATTCAAATAAAATTTGACTGTTTTATGGCTTAGATTCAATAATTTTCCTTCCAGGAAGCGGTTATTGGGGATTTTGTCGACACCCGAACTATGGATGCGAAATTTTGATCTTCTTTTGCTTTTCAATGTTTCAAGGGGCAAAGGTTTGGAGCATTTATGTAAATGAACTTATAATTAGCTTCAAGGATAAGATAATTTCATTAAATTTAAATTTTAAAACTATTGACGTATTCAGGCGGCCCATTTCTATTTCCCGTTGATTTTTCTCGTTTTCTATCTTGTTGCGAGGACGCTAAACGATGAGAATCGATGTCTGGTTAAATATGGTAAAAAAGTTAATAATATAATTATTATCATTAGAAAATTAAGTCAGTTTTAAGTCTCTTAAATCATTTACAGGCTCAAGTTGGTGTCAGTACTGTCAACGAGTTCCCTATCGCTTTTTCCCCGGCGTCTTTTAGAGTCGATTTTGTGACAAAACCGATCCCGTTTCTATGGTTTTTCTTCTCAAAAACGAAACTAGCTAATCATTTTCTTATTCATACATTCATTCATTCATTTTTTTTTGTACTTTTGTTGGGTATTCTCTTGCCATTTTCTTTTGCCTCTTTCTCTATTTTTGACAAATCTGTGCACCGATCTCAATGAGCTTACTGAATTTAAAATAAAGCGATGATAAGGAAATGATTTTAAAATAAACCATGAGTCTACTCAAAATCATATTTATTTGTAATAAAAGTATGGAAATTGAGCAAAATTTTATGTTTCTCGGACTCAAAAATCAACTCAACCCAGACACACAAAAATGACCCCCGAACCCGGCAGAAATCGATTTTTTCGCCGAAATCGAGAAAAGGGCTCATCAAATGAGATAAATGAGTAAAAAGAGAAAAAAGTGGGAAAAAGATTTTTTGGGGAAACTGCAGAGAAAGCGAACGACTCGAAGATCACAGTGATCATTTTGAGGAGAGTTTTCTACAATTCTACAATTCAATTCAAGAAATTCAATTTTTGTCGATTTTTGTGCCCCGCTCGTCTTTGTGCACGTTTTTTACCCCCTTTCGCCATTCTATGAGATGACTCGGCTAATCTCTGGGGTCAAAGAAATTTTAAAACCTCTTTGAATTTGGCTAGTCAGTTGTTTTACTATGTGTTTGATCAATCCAGTTCAATGAACGATTGGCTTTCATTTCGTCTTGCTTTTCATTTGTTTCTTCACAAGAGCTCTGAATCAAAACTTTTCTGTTCTATTTCTATGCAACCATGCGAGTAAACTGTTCTCATACTTTATGCCTTGATCAACGCTCATTTTCCGGCAAATCCCTCATTTGTCAATAGAAAGTATCTCATAAATGATTTTCCTGACCAATTGTTTACTGTTTTCAAATCGTGAAATGACACAAAACTGGGTATATTTATGATTTCCAGGAACCCTCTTCGCTATGTCTTTCCTCTATCCAGCACTTACCATTCTGACTGTATTCCTTTTCCTTCTCAATCAATATTCTCGGCGAATCGCTCGAAAACCGCGAATTCACGCAAAAGAGGGAAAACTTAAAGATTTCATTTTGGAAAATCTATCGATTATTCATAAGGTTTATTTGTTTTTCGTAATTTTTCGTAATGGCTTTTATTTGAAATCAAAAAGTAGAGTGTGTTCCTTCGCGAGTAAGTCATTGCTCGAATAGAGCTCGAGTCAAATTTTTGAGTAATTAGTAATGTTTTTACTCCATTAATCTCATGAGTAATTTTTACTCGATTAATCGATCAAAACAGCTGAAGGGAACTGATCAAAACAGCGCCAGCCAAAAGAAATGCTTTTGCGGTTAAGTTTATTTATGTTTCTTATTTTCATTAGATGTAGAAAAGAAAATTAGCTATCTGCTGAATTTTTGAAGTCGTTTAGAACAAATCTCAGATGAGAAAATGCCAAAAAAAACACGAAAAAGGGATCAAAAAAAGGTTAACTGAGCTTTTCTCTACACCAATTCTATTTTTAATGATCTCAAAGTAAACAAAATGTAGATAATTTTATTCTGAATCCAATAAGAATAAGAAACACATAGAAATTTAACCACGGAAGGGCTATTTTTGCCCTGGTGCTTTTTTTGCCAGCTCCCAATCGACGTTTTTTGGTCGACAAGTAATCCTCTTTACACGCCGAGTAAATTGAAGATCTTTAAATTACCACCAAATTAGTTAAACGGCTGGATATCTTTAAAAGGAGTGGTAAATTAGTCGTAAATTCAATGGACGCTTGTGATTGTTTTGCGTCAATTTTGCAATAATTTGCAATAATTTTTTGCAATAACTTTCACTTAAAGTACGATAATTTTTTTCGATAAGTTTGCGTTTTAAAAAAAAGCGTATTACTCACGAGGAACAAAATCTAATCAAAAGTATCGCTTTTCATTTTTCTCCCATCAAAAAGGTGGCACCACTTTGGGTGAAATTCACGTGAATCGCTCCCGATTATGATAGGAAAAACACAAATGGAAACTGTTGGGCGCAAAAATTGGAGATGAGCTTTAAAGAGGGTAAAGCTTGGATATTGAGTGCATAAAGTGATCAAAGGAGATTTTAAAACTCAGTTATCAGTTTTCAAATGTCGACTAGATCAGCCTGAGCCCAAATTTCAGATTTATTACCCATGCTGGTGGTGTCCATGGGGAATCCCGCAAACGCTATTCCGGGTATTATTGAGGTGAGTTTCTTTCTAGTTCTGTTTCTAGTTCTGTTTCTAGTGCTGGTTTCTAGTTCTAAAATGTTTAAAAGCTTTGATGGATGAAGAGTTCCCTATTTATCCATCTAATTTCCCCATTTTTTTGCAGACGCCTCCCTAAATTAGCATTCGAACGGGAGATTGTCGATTTGTCCGATGGTGGATGTTTGGCGATTGATTGGTTGAATCCAAAGAATAATCAACAACAAGCACCAATTATCATTATGTTGCCTGGTAGGTTTTAAAGAAAGTTCTTTAATCCAAAAGAAAAATCTAGGAATGACAAGTTCCACTCATGACTGTGCCTACATTCTCTATTCGGCCAAGTTAGCCAATCGAAAAGGCTATCGGGTGAGTTTAAATGGGAATTTTAAAGCCTGAAACTGTACTATATTGCAATATTGAATTTTATCATTGTTTGATAACATAAAATTAGATTTCATTCTGCAATATTCGATTTCAGGTAGTTGTTGTAAATCCTCGAGGATTGGGTGGGATCCCGTTGAAAACCGCTCGAACATACAATCCATCGAAAACAGATGATCTCGATATTGTTGTAAAGGTTTGTTGGCTAAACGAAGTAAAGTATAAGCTCCTACGTGTCGGGGTAGCTCATTGGTAGAGCGTTCGCCCGTTAATCGATAGGTAGCGGGCTCGAATCCCGTTTTGTTTTCAACCCCCCAGCTGCAAGCCATAAAAAGACCGGCGTGTCCAACTCCGAAACGATCGGAACAAAAGTTATTCATTAAAATTTAGCTAATAAACGAGAGATTTCCAACGGCGAGGAAACTTGGTGTGGGTTTCAGTCTTGGTGGGATGAGTCTATTCAACTATTTGGTCTCAAAATGCAAGGTGATACAAGCTTACAAATCTAGCAAGAACTCCTTCAGAACACAGTTGGCCTTTCCGCTGCAATGATTATTTCATCACCATGGGATCCAATCGAAGCTTCGTTTGTGAATGAACAGTTCTGGTCGAGAATCCTTTTCAATAAATTTCTCTCAAAAGTGCTCAGAGATTATGTAAAACCGTACAAGTAAGCCAATAACAAAAAAAGCAAAGAAATTTCCAATTTAGGCATTTATTTGAAGATAAATTCGATTGGGAACGAGCGATGTCCTTGAAAAGTGTTCGGGAATACGATCATTTTGTGACAGCTCCCCTTTTTGGACACAATGATTGGGCTGAATATTATCATCAAGTTGGTAAACAACTTTGTTTGTAAACAGTTGGTAAACAACAACAACAACTCTTCAGCTTTTTTTTCTTTTGGTTCCTTTTATTTGTGGTTGAAAGTAAAATGAAATGAGATCCAAATTTCTAATCGAAAATTCGTTTCCAGGCTGCTCTCTATCATCACCACAAGATCCACTCAATTCCCATTCCAACGCTTTGTCTAAACGCGAAAGACGATTGCTTTTCCCCGTTGAGTAGTATTCCATTTGAAGAGGTCAGTTCTGACGCCTAATTTTTTGGATTTTCTGGATTTTCTGGATTTTCTGGATTAGGCTCAATTTTCAATCAATTTTCAAAATTAGAGTTTTAGCTAAAAAAGACGAAAAATCTGATCTCAATCACAACAAAACATGGCGGACATTTGGCTTTTATGCGAAGCGGGAATCCGTCTTCGATTGGATTGGATGAGCTTGTTCTTTCCCAATATTCGGATGCCATTTTCGGGGAAACATTCATCGATTCATCGCTATTTCATTAGGCTATTCAAATTGTTTTTAGTTTTTATATTTAAAGTACAAATAAATCTTTTTTTTTTTTCTTCGTTTTGGAAATGCATTTTGGAAAAGAACTCTTTCACTACAAAACTCTTCTTTGGCTACAAAAATTTTCACTTTTTTTCAGAAACCTTAAATTTTAGTAATAAAAACCTATAAATTAAAGTATTCCATTTTTTCTTTTATTTATATAGGCTTTCTTCTTTTTCCTTTTAGTTATATAGGCTGTAATCTTCCTGATGAGATCTATTGGGTTGGTGAATTGAAAACTGCCGGCTATTGTCATATGTGACAGTTTGAGCACTTTCTTCAAAAGAAACCCATTTTGGTGTCAATGGAAAAGTTGTAGAGAACCAAAAATCAAGCTTATATCCAAATTTTCAGAACGATTCAAAAACTGGTTTTCAAGAAATGCCAAATTTTCACAAAACTTTAAGCGAAACTACTAAGTGTATCTTTTTGGAAATTTGGCTCTAGGCCTAATTTTTGATTCTCTACAACTTTTCCATTGACACCAAAATGGGTTTCTTTTGAAGAAAGTGCTCAAACTGGGACATCTCCAGTCCTCCATTTTGGAGTCTCACACTTGTCTCACACACAAACCAAAATCCTACTACGAAAGAGGAATCCGCAAATTGCCTTCAAAATGGGCAGAAGTCCTCAATAATAATGGAAATTATTTGGAATGAATTTATGGTTTTATGTTCAATAAATTTTAGTTCAAAGTCCCGCAGTTTTTTTATATTAAAATAGTAATCTTTTCCTTTATATTTTCTTTTTTTAAAGTCTGAACTTGAATCTTTAACCAGAGATGGGGATAAGGTTACAAATTCTATGGGAAATCTAGGAAAAGAGAATCTTTTTGATGAGAAAAATATTGAATCCAGCTTTAAAATCATGAAATCAACACTTAAACGTTCATTTTTCGTTTAGAGAATTCATTATTTTTATCGATTGATCCTTTGAAATAAACCTTTTGGTTTTAAAGTTCTCAGAGTTCAATATTTTCCTGTAATATCTAACTATTTTCCCCAATATTTTCCCCTTTTCGATATGGGCATCTTTGGATCGAAAGAATCCCTTCACACGGGCACAATGGGACGATTGAATGAAAATATGCGATTGTACAGAATGGTTGATATGCATGGTGGAGGAGAGCTCATTTCTTGGATGAGGTTAGCTCTGTCAGCGCTATTCTATCTATTCGTTCACCCGGGGATTTTTGCGATTTAACTTTGAAATCGAATTAGCAATCCTCTTTGTTCTTTCTGACAATGAGAGTTCTTATTGAGCTTTTCCTTCAGATATGCAATGACATCTGGTGATCACTCGATAATTGATGGATATCTGGACTCAAAAGTCAAAGACTTTCTCAACAAAAATGGCGAAGGAATACTCGTTTCAGTGGCTGAATTGGTGAAGATCAGAAATAAGGTCGAAACTTTGGAGGCGATTCGATTGTTACCACGGCCGATTGGCTAAGAGCCCTCTATGTTGAGGGCAGAGGGTCGAGGGTTCGATCCCGCCGGCTACATTATTGGTTCTTTTTCCTCCTATCGATGGGATTTTTTTCTTCTTCCCTACATTTAGGGTTGTATTGTTTGTACCACATTATCCCTGTGAATAAATGTGTTTTTAAAATGCTACCATGATTGTTTAGCAAAGAAATGCGATGTTGTCGGCGTTTGCGCGAAAAAAGGGAAAAGGAAAATTAGGGCCGAATCTTTTGGATGAATTCGACCAAGACGCGGGAAATGTTGGAAATCTGAAAAAGGGTAATTAAACAAAAACTCATCTTCTAGATTGTTTTGGCTTCATTTAAAAGTTAAATGTGTCTTTTGATTCTAGAAATTTAGCTCTAAGCTTCTTCGATGGCGGTAGTCGAGGGGCTTATCGAGATGTATGTTGGAAGTTGGAGGAAAGAGGTGCGACAAACATAGACAAGCTTTCAACTCCTCCTAGGTTCAATGGGCGAAACTCTACTCGGCGTTTGCCTTCTCCAGGGCACAGCCATTCATAACGCGTTGGCGTTGAAGCTCTTGAACAAATATCCAAATTTAATCAATGATTACAATATTTCGGAAGATTATTACGGTAACTGATCCAATTGATATTCTTATAAAAGAGTTACCGTAAATACTGTCATAGTACCCCCACCCCCATAATGACGGTGCGAAGTGTTGCGTAGTCTAGCTTTGAACGAGTTTTTCTCGACACTGGTTTATGCTACAATGCGCGCTTAGGTATCAAAAAAATAGCCCTGAATTTCAGCTATTTTTTGATACCAAAGACGCATTTTTTGAAAGTATGGGTGCTTTGAAAAAAATGAAATACTAAAAAACTTTTGCGACTACGCGACCGTACGAGGGGCGTGGGGTACTATTACAGTATTTACGGTAGGTCTCTCACCTTTACATCAAGCAATCGTCAATGAGGATCCACGGATGGTTCGGGTTCTTTTGAGGCAAGGAGCTGATGTGAATAAGAGGTAGAGAAGGTCTATTCTTGTCAAACCAAGTGAACAACTTCTTTAAGGTGTTACGGAGCGTTTTTCTGTGCCGACGATCAAAAGGACAGCCGCACTGACTCATTGGAGCACGAGTATGTTGAATTGAGTTTAAAGACGAACTATACCGGGTAAGGAAATTTGGATACAAGTGCAGATCGTTATTACAGCCATATGTACTTTGGTGAGTACCCACTTCATTTCGCTGTTTGTATGAATCAACCCGAGTGCTATCGGCTTCTTTTAGCACAAAAGGTGAGAAATTATTTACTGGTTAATGCTTAAAAAATCACCAATTCTCTCTACTTTAATTTGATACCTAAGCGCGCAGAAACAAACGTTTGTTAGCGATATGAGCGCTTGTTTAAGAGTAAACTGAGACTACGCGACGCTCCTATAGGGCTTCTATTCGAGCCCTATAGGGCTTTTATTAGAGTTTCTAAAGTAGCTGATTCAACATCAAATCTAAATCTCTAAATCAAACCGTTTTCAGGCTAATCCCAATGCTCAGGATACAAATGGGAACACAGTGTTGCACATGTGTGTCATTCACGAGAATGTCGTGGGCTACTATTCTTGAGTAATTTAAATTACAGTAATTTAGGAAATGTTGAGAATGGCCGTCTCGCTTGGTGCAAGTCTGAAAATAACAAATCGTCAAGGATTAACCCCATTGACTCTCTCAGCAAAATTGGCGAAGAAACAAATGTTTATCGAACTGTTGGATATGGAGAGTGAAGCCGTTTGGGTTTATGGAGAGAGTTCACAGGTTGCAAAGGGGAAATCACTTAGCTTACAATTTTCTACAGTTTTTAACAATGTCAACTTAAATATTGGAAGGTTTAGACAGCATTTCCACTGGGAAATATTGATACAATCAATCAGGAGACAGGAGAAATGAATGAGAATTCGGCGTTGGCGCTTGTTGTTTATGGGGTAAGGATAATATTGGGTTGGTGAATTGAAAACTGCCGGCTATTGTCATATGTGACAGTTTGAGCACTTTCTTCAAAAGAAACCCATTTTGGTGTCAATGGAAAAGTTGTAGAGAATCAAAAATCAAGCTTATATCCAAATTTTCAGAACGATTCAAAAACTGATTTTCAAGAAATGCCAAATTTACGAATTTTCACAAAACTTGCAACAAAACTTGCATTTTAAGCGAAACTACTAAGTGTATCTTTTTGGAAATTTGGCTATAAGCCTAATTTTCGATTCTCTACAACTTTTCCATTGACACCAAAATGGGTTTCTTTTGAAGAAAGGGCTCAAACTGTCACATATGACATTAGCCCGCAGTTTTCAATTCACTAACCCAATATCGTTTCTTTTTTGAAGAGACAGCTTGTGTTTTGTTTAGCTGAGAATAGTAATGGTATGAAACAAGGCTTTAAGGAAACCTCTGAACACCTTGAACTTCTTGATGGACTTCTCGAGAACATTCTCCAATCGAAATGGGATTCCTATGCACGGATGACGTATTTCGACAAGTATTTTCCCGTTAAACTAACTTTTGCAGATGGATCTACTCGTTATCTGCTTTTACTTTTTACTACTTAATCTTTTACATGGCTTTCATGAATCGTCCATTCTCAAAAACAACTGAGGTATGAGTTTCAAAAAGTTGGCTTCGACTTTTTTTGGTTTGTCATATTCATTTTCTAACTTCAGATGATTACAAAAGGGATGGTGAATGGGAGTTCGGGAAAGGCGATGTTCACAAATTTCTACACAAAACTACGAATCAACACAAGTTTACACGAGGATTTCTATAGCTATCAATATGATGGTTTCGGTGAGATTTCGACGTTTCCAATAGTAGATATGTTACGTCCTAATCTGAGGAGACGTCCATCTTCGATCCGGACGTCCGAATCTGAGGAGATTCATTCTCCTCTGAAACGGACGTCCGACTCAGAGATGGACGTCCGTTTCGGAGGAGAATTGCCAAACCGTACATATTACCAAATTATTTGTGAAGAAAAAAAAGTAAATTGAGATAATTTCCATTTTAACTTCCTTTTTCATTTGTTTTGTTCAAAACATTGGATTATGCATTTAGACTATTTGTTTCTCAATGATCATTCTCCTCTGAAACGGACGTCCGGCTCAGAGTCGGACGTCCATCTCTGAGTCGGACGTCCGTTTCAGAGGAGAATGAATCTCCTCAGATTCGGACGTCCGGATCGGAGATGGACGTCTCCTCAGATTCGGACGTAACAGATACACAAAGTACGATCGGGTTGAACAAGGTTTTCAGATGAACAAGAGTCTCAATGTCATCTCAGCAACTACAGCCGTTTACCCTTTGTTCAGGGATATGTTGGAATGAGATCTAGTGATCTTTTATCGTCATTCAATTATAGTTTCGTCTTTTCTGTGAAATCCTTGTTCTCATAATGGTCATCGCTCAAATGGTGATGGATTTTCTCGAGATTCATCGAATTGGGAGACATAAATGGTTAAATATTATGGTAATCAACAAATTCTTGCCAAAAAGAATTTACCAAAAAAGATCTAGAAAGCTTTCCCAGCCAAGTGTATCTACAAATGTACATTTATCGGCATTCTCCTTTTGATTCCGATCAGATGTATGTTTTTGAATTCTTAATTGTCAGCTACTTAGAGGAAAACTATGAGAAATATCTTACCGAGACATTAAATAAACAATTTTATTAGTACTTTGCCATGCATCTGCTTTCTTTCTTGTTGCTGATAACTGGATCTCTTCAATTTTAGTCATCATGACAACCCTTCATTTTCTTTATTACAGTAGGTCAGTGAAAGCTTGGGATAACGGTAGGTAACGGTAGGTTTTTTCTTAAACCCTGTGATGAAGAGGATCTAGAGTTAGAGCCCTCAAATTCATCTAGAGCCCTCAAATTCATCGGTTCTTTTGTGTTGATGATCTACACGATTATCGCCACTGATATGAGTCGTTTCTTCTTGATCTACTCGATTTTTCTCATCGGATTCTCACAATGTAAATGTTTAAAACAAAATTTTAAAACATTCCTTTTAGCTTTTTATCTGATTTTCACATCATGCGAACGGGCACAAAGCGTTTACAACAACGCAACAAATGTGACGGGCATTGACGAGTTTCAAAATGTTCTCAAACATCCAAGTGATGCACTCGTGCGCACATTCATCATGACTGTCGGTGGGTGCAAATTAAAGAAGAAATTTCGTAAAATTTGGGTTTATCTATTTGAGATAAACGGAAGTAAATGAAAATTTTGAATTCTTTAACCATTGCCATAACCATTGCCATTACCATAACCATTGCCATTGCCATTGCCATAACCATTGCCATTGCCATAACCATTGTCATTGCCATTGTCATAACCATAACCATTGCCATAACCATTGCCCTTCAGGCGAATTCATGCAACTCTATCGCCAGATGGCTTTGTGCAAATCGAATCTGATGAAGCTGATTGGAAAAGTTTGCCTGAAATTAAGTTTACATCTTGAAAAGTTTCAGTTATGCTTTGTGATATTCGAAATGGGAGTTTCCATTTTGCAATTCAATCTTTTGATCGCCATGATGACGAGGACATATGAGACAATCTTTCAGACAAGAAAAGAATGGAAAAGACAGGTTGGGTGATATGGAATGGAGGGCTACGCTAGCTATTGGAGCACACGTAGTGTCAGCTATTTTTGCTTTTTACTCATGTGCCAGGAGGCGCGCGTTTATGGGATGATATCCTCGAGTTCATCCCTCGACTATACTGTATCTGAAACATAATGCGGAAAACTTTATATACCCATGTACTTTAAATAAGCTTGATCACCAATTTCAGTGGGCTCTCGTCATTTTAATGCTCGAGCTTTCCCTTTCCCCAAAAAGTCGTCTCCGTCATTTGATGGACTATTCTCGGCCGATCGGCGCAAATAAAGGACTGAGGAGTTACGTTGTGAGCAAGAAATCTGATGTGAGAATAAAATGCGTGGAAAAACGAAAAGTCCCATTTTAGAGTGGAACCAGCGACACCTTGGCTCAAGTGAAAAAGGAGAAAACGGCAATGATGAAAGAAGAGAATAAAGCGTTACTCAAAAGGAAATTGAGGGTGAATTGATTATGAAAAGCTTTCGGTGTTTTAAAATACAAGTTTGTGAACAACACGTTTACATTGTACACTCGGATCAAAAATTTCAGGAAGCTGACCAAAGACGATGTTCAGAGGCGTGGAATCTGAGAGTTCGCCCGTTGCCACCTCGATCATTGCCATTAAGCATGAAAGCAAGTATCTGATTGTGGTGTTATTGAAAAAGACTTTATATCCCAAGTGATATCCAAACAACGTAGCAAAAACAAATGACCTTAAAACTTAAAACAGATACAAGGATTTTCAGAGATCAAAAATAATTTATAAATAACATACACGCAATGTAAAACGCATCAATTCTTGAAGTATTCGCTCAATTCGCCAAGGTAGATTCGCTTATCCGTGCCGCTTGAGAGTACTAAACGAAAAGCATAAAACATTTTAAGTTTCTTTTATTATGATGACCTAATTTTAAATTAAAGTTTTAAAGACTCACGAATAGGTTCTTTTGGATGGAAATCAGTGGCAACAACAGATCCTTGGTGCCCGGGCAGCTTGTAGGCGATTCGACCCGTATCGATATCCCAAACGTAAACGAAACGATCTGCCGAGCTAAAACATTTCTTTTATTGATTAACAAAACTATAACGACGAAAACTCTAAAAATTTCATATTCAAAAAATACAAAGTAGAATAGCAAAAGCTAATGAACACCTACCCTGCCGATACCCATTGACCATCCGGTGACCATGTGCATTTGAGAAGATTCTAAGAAAATAATTCAATAATTCTAATGACCATAAATAAAAGTTGTAACTTTTAAAGAAACCACTTACCCGCTCAAAATTATGTTCGTGTCCTCTGAAGATCGAGTTCAATCGGTCTCCCTCACAATAAGGTCGCACATCAAACATCAGCACTAAATAAAAATAAAATTTAGCTACATGTAAAACTTGACTAACAAGTTTGATCCATCGAATTACTGAGGAGATACGATCCATCGGGTGAAAGTGCAAGCGAAGTGATTGTGTCCATGTGATGCTCCAAAGTAAAATCGGCCTCTCCTTTACGCATGTCGTAGCACTGAGAAATTTTTTAGTAACTTGAATTTCTTTAAGTAACAAATAAAGCAAATAATTATGTTTTCGTCACTAAACACTCACCACAATGTCATTCTCAATGTTTCCAGCAAAAACGTATTCGGCGGTGTCGTTGAAAGAAACGGCTGTTTGGGCAAAACGATTCTCAAATTTCTTCACCGGATCCCGTAGTCGCAAATCATGAACCTAAAAACAAAAGACCATTTAGATATAATGCTATTATATTATCAACACCGACGGACCCTAACTTTAGATTTAAGAACCCAACATACCAAAACAAATCCGTCATCACTAGCCGAAGCCACCAATTGTGGACCACGTCTTGCCGGATGACAGGAGTTCACGATTTCGAGATGAGATTTGAACCTGAACAAAGCCGCATTACGGTAAGACAAACAGGTTTAGTATTAAGTCAGACTTTAACTACTCACTTTCTTTTGCATGTTCCAGTCTCCATGTCCCAAATGCGCACCGTTTTGTCGGTTGAACAAGTGAAAAGCGCACTAAACTTTGTGGTTTTATTAGATCTGAATGTGAAATCGGTACCTTGAATCGGTATTGAAGTGTAGATCCATCACTGTTCCCGTATGCCCTTTGAGCGTCGCAAAATTCTCGCCCTCATCGTAAACATTCCATAAGAAGATCTAAACACAACTATCAGATGCTTGATTTAAAATCCAATTACCTTTTGATCGTAACCGGCAGAAGCAAAGATTGATCCATCCGTGGAGAAGCGGGCTGTCATGATTTCACCCTCATGCCCAGTATAAAGCATAATTGGGGCCTAGTTAAAAAATTTACACAAAATCAAAGTACACTCACCGGTAGTCGAGAAGTCCTTGGGATTTGATCTGCTCCAGCAATGCCAGTCGCCATCAACTAAAGTAAAAGTTGCTGGGAAAAACGGCAAAAGCTTACTTGCTGCCCTCCATAAGCAACGACTTGACCACCATTCTCTCGACCTAAATTAAAGAAAGTTATCGTTGTTTTTTGGAATTTATATAGGTATATTTAACTGATTACAAGATTTTTTAAAGATATACTGGCACTCATTTAACTTCGACTGTATAGCCCACTTAAAACTGTTGTCTGAGGATTTTGTTTGTTTTTTTGTTAAGGAAAATATTGCACAAACCGCTTTTTCTAACTGGCGTTTGCACATGTTGATATGGCGGTGGTGGTGCTTTCCCTCCGAATGGCATCTCGGGCCGCTTGAAGCCTTCACTGTCTGCCATCTTCTAAAAATAATAATCTTCTACAGGAATAAGAATCTTTAAAAAGCATACATCAAGTCTTCCTTTATTTCTCCCACTCTCCTTACAACTTTAAGCCTTTGGCAAAACAATTCCAAGATCATCTGGTTTTCAGACCACAAACGTCAGTTGAAACACATTGTACACATATTTATTCAAAAAGCAATAACTTAATTCACAAACAAATAAGAACATACCCGTATGAAAAGCAACACCAAATCACGATAAAGTTATATAAATCAAAAATTTCACTCAAAGAAGATATTAATCGTAGTCCTGAAGAATATCGCTCATGTGGACATTGTGAACCTTCTTTTGATCCAATTTCCGCTTTGTCGGTTTTCGCTTGGGTGGACCATTGTTGAGTCGCTTTGGGAGAAGATCCTAAAATTGAAACATTTTTTTATTTAAATTTGGTGATTTTTAAATTAATCCTGCTGCTATCTCAATAAATCTTTGTACTTCATTAATATCACAAAACCAATGAGTTTTTTTACCTTCATAACATCAATGCCCCTCTTTTGCAAGTATTCCTCGATTTTCTTTTCGTCTAAATGATCCACCGAAACGTTTCGCCATAAACCTTTGAAATCGTCGTTCAGATCAATGTCGTTCGTCTTGTCGTTGATGAAAACCGTCTAAAGTCTTCACATTAAAATGATGAGTGTTAGTAAAGCAACCTTATCCTTCCGCTTGTTTATCACGGTGGGCACTACGACAATCTGATTACCTAAAATATAATTGAAAGAAAAATTTAACGGTAACCTACCCAATTCTTCCAAAGCCTTGTCAGCGTGCGAGATACATTCGTTCAACTCTGAAAGCAAAATTCCTCCTTTTGCGTTCGAGTAGTGTGATTTGAGTACTTCGAGCAGCGACTTCTTGCCAATGATCTTGTACTTCGGTCGAAATCTAAATTGTGAAATTATTGCAATAAAACTTAATGGCGCTATTATATGCTTGGATCTTTAGAAATAATGGCAAACACTCTCAACGCCACCTGAATTTGCCTTCGTCATCGGTGATAATTTTCTCGTTTCTTGGGAGCGCTTCTTGAAGCCACGCTTCAGATTTCTTGCTTAGCCCATAAATCTAAAATGATTTCTATAACTATGTTGATTTAAAGTCAATTTTTATAAAAATGATGCTACTCACCTGCAGCTCCGCCAGCACTTCCGAAAAGCCGAGTGGCCAACTCTGTTTATCGAGGTGTCGTTTCTTTAAGTAGTCGACAATCTTAGCCATTGTTGAGAAGTTGATCGCATTGGAGACGGCATTACTTGATGGGGGCTCTTTATCGATCTAAAAACAAAAATGCTTTTGAAAATAATTTTTTATAGTGCCGCAATTAATGGAGTGCTTACTAATTAATGCCGTCATATTACTATGTTAAAAAACTTTAACATATTGTATGGAATTGCTTAAGTACGATGGTACCAACCTTTGGTGCCTCTTGTTTTGGCTTCTTTTTCTTTTTGTGCTCGTCGGTTCGGTAGGTGGTGTGAGACGGTTGAGCTGCAGGGGTCGGTCGTTGCTGGACACTCGCCGTCTGAGCGGCCCTCTTCTTGAACGCGGCTTGTTGACGCAACAACTCGGGATCCATACCTGCAAGAAAAAAAAACTTAAAAGCCTCCTAACTTTTCAAAACAACCATGCACAATCGATTCGCAAGAGTATTTAGCGGATCAATCCGAAAGTTTCTTCGACGAAATTATGCAAATGATTTATTCTTCTACCTATAAGACACTCCTACATATAATCAAAGCACACAAATTAAAGACTTTTTGGCTCTTGTTTCTTTCATTCTTTATCACTCAATGGGCTGTGGCTTCATCACGTCCTTGAATTGGATTCCATTGTTGATCTAAAATAAACAAGGTAAATTTAGTCTCAAAATTTTATTTTATAGAAATGCACAACTTGGTGAACTTAACAAATAAACATTTATAAATTGGCTGTTCCCTACTTTAAAATGTTTTAAAATTTTGAAACCTACACTATTCCAGATGGAGTTGGTGAGGTTGTCAAAGACAAAGTTGAGGGTGTAGGCTCCTCCAGTTGCTGCGAGAATGATGGTCGACCATCTGCGCGTCACAGATCGATAAACAGTGGCGCCAAATGACATTTTACCTAAACAATTTCATGTTTAACTGTTAAAATGAAAAAGAGAACCATAAAAGCTGAAGGAACGCAGTGAAATTTGGATATATTTTATATTGAATCTATGTTGTGCCGGTTAAATAGCTGATAACGTAAATTCTCTCCTTAAAAGGATGTAATACTTGCAAAATGAATAGTTAAAGTGTGCAAAAGACTCTAAAAATAAATATAATAGCCTAAAGATAACAAAGCTTATTGCTTTACAAGACGGGTTTAATTTGTAGTCTTCATTTGAATATTGCGTGGCAGCCCATCGCTGGGAAGGGACTGTGACGCAAAGCTAAATCTGGTATAAATTCTTTGGAATTAGTAGGGAGCACCATTCATTATTTTCGAAAGCACAATGCTTCGACTGCCTACCCAAGTATCTCGTTTCCTTCATTTTTAACGCAAGAAAGCGGCCGTGTAAAGGGCAAGCGCGTAGCTGTCGCCAAAAACCCGGTTCCACAAAGCGCAACAACCATTTGCAAAAGGTCCCTCTTGTGTCGAAAACAAATTTGCGTAAACAAGTAATTGCTCATTCAATTGGCAAAATTTACAATCGTTTTCTTATGGTTTATAAAGACTTTAGGAAGTTCATTCACTGAATTCCCATCTGTCACAAAAAACCATAGCCTACGGCCCATTCCTTTGCAAGAAATTTCCCTGCGCTTTCTTCACAAACTTTTAGTCAAATTTTCGGAAATCCCGGCCCTGAACATTGAAATTTCTGCCTTTGAAGCATTTTGGCAGAATCTTTTTGTTTTTCTTTAACTTTTGTTCAAATTAATTAATTGGTTTAATTTTCAGGATGCCCCGCGAAGAAAAGAAGAGAAAACGAAAGGATAGCGATTCGTCAGAAGGTCTCTTTTTTGTTTTAGATTTTACAAATAGCAACGGTTTGCTTTAGATGAACGCGTGAAACATCGCCGGTCAAAGACTCCATCTCCATCACCGGCTAAAGAAAGGTACAAATTTGTGCTGCTGCTCAGTTTTCATGTGTTATTGAACAAACTAATTAAGTTTTGATGAATTAGACATTTAGACGCCAAGCCAAAAGCAGATCGGCTTCACCAGCTGGAAATGAAGGCGGCGGAGGAGGGTTAGTTTTATAGAAATTATGTTAGTAGTTTGCTTTTCTAATTTTTTTAGTGACTTCACCCTTTCCATCGAGGAGACCAACAAATTACGAGCACAGCTGGGAATGGCTCCATTGGAAACCGACGACACGCCAAAGATTCGCGATGCTGAGGACGGAAACTTGACCGACAAAATCGTCAACGAGGAGGGATTCGAGTTCCGACATCGAAAGGTTGGGTGCTATTTTTAATGAAAAATGACAAAATTTTTTAGGCTGAAAATTGGGGTGACAAGAAGAAAGATGAGGGAATCAAGGAGAAGATTGAAGTCGCTAAAAAAAAACGAGAAATCTACGCAAAAGTGCTCAAGTCAAAAGGCCTAGCCGATGACAGCTCGGATGATGAAGCTACTGGATGGGTGAGCTTAAATAATTATCAGTTAGTGTTTTAATCAAAAGTCTTAATTTTCTAAATATCGGCTTTAGGTTTCGAAGCAACGACAGCTCGATGAAGAGCGAAAGAAGGCTGACGAAAGGGTAATTTTGTTGTCTGAAATTAGTTGTAAACGTTTTTAGGCCAAAATGCTGGATCAAATGGATGAAGAATTTGGCGTTTCGTCGGTGATCGAAGAGAAAAAGAAACAAGCCAAGAAAAAGGACATCAAGGTAATTTAGTAAGATTGTTTAGCGATTAGTATTTCATTTCAGAAGACATCGCAAAAGGACAAATCGCTAACTGGTGGCCTGATTGTTGGCCATAGCAAGGCTGAGTTTTTGAGTGGAGAAGACCAGGTGTTGGTCCTTGAAGATAAAGGTCTGTTTTAAGAACAAAAATAGTTAAAGGCAATATTTAGGCGTTCTCGATGAGGGAGACGAGGTCCTAGTCAATCCAAATATTGTCGACAAAGAACGCACAAATCGCAATGTGGAACTGAAAAAAAGAAAGGGCAAAGAAATGCAAGAGGACCAACTTGATGAATGGGGAAATGTGCGTTGATTACTGTTTCAAGTGACAATCCATTGATTTAACTACTAGTTCTTTAAAAGATGTATTCATTTTGTTTAGCCAAAAGATCGTGGCCTTCTTGCAAAGTATGACGACGAGTTGGAGGGACAACCTCGTGAAAGGTTCCGATTGGATGAAAGTGGACAGGTAAGCTTTGAATAATACTAGATAGGTATTTTATTCAGATGAAAAGGCAACGATAGCTTATTTTAAATATAAAGATTTGTATTTAGGTTGACATTGAGCGAGAACGAGATGAAGCCGAAATGCGCAAACGTCTGATGATGGCTGGAAAAACGCTCGTTGATTTGGATGACAGCAACAAGTTCTCAAGAGCCAGCGAATATTACACACAGGTTTAAAACTTTATTCTTTTCCACACGTAGTATAATACTATCTTATTATGTTTAGGAAGAGATGATTTCATTCCGCAAAGTGAAAAAAGAAAAGAAAGACAAGAAGCTCCGAAAACGAGGCAAAGAAAAGGGAATTCTCAAAGCCGACGATTTGGAGCCAATAGAACAAGGCGGAAGTAGTGATCTTGGCACGAGGTTGGTCATTTTGTAGATTGGCTTGAATTGCGTTTTTTGCAAATAAGCGCATAAGGTGCAAGATACCTATTTTGTTGCTAACATTTCGGATTAGGGGTCGCCGACGTCGACAAGACGATGAAGAAGCAATGGACACAACAAGCAAGCCTCGAAAAGCTGAACCACAGGTCGTTTTTTAGCCTATCCATGATAATAACTGAATTTTTAGGCGGAAGATGGAGAAATCGAAGATGAAACGCCTGAAGTTGACGGAAAATGGCGCCGAACTCAGCAGCAGGTTGGGTCTTTGTCATCGTTTGTCTGAAAGTACAATTATTTGCATAGCTAAAAATTCACACAAATAATGTGGTACAAACAATACACAAACACAACCCCTAAGCCCTAAATGTAGGGAAGAAAAACCTGATAGATATGGGAAAAAAACCGATAATCGAGCCGGCGGGATCGAACCTTTGACCTCCCAACTAAGATACAGGGCTCTTAACCAGTCGACCATGACAGCTAGAATATGATAAATTACATAAAATGAAAATTTCCTTTTAGGCTGTTGACTTGGATGCTCTAAAACGAGTGGTAGAACGGGAAATGGAGGAGGAAGAAAGCGATGGTTAGTTGAAAGAAGAGTCTGTTAAAAATGCTAAAATTTTAGATGATCTCATTGTCGGTGTTGACCTTTCAAACGTTGTTTTGGATTACGACGCTGAGAACGAATTGCAATCAGTTCTCGAAAAGGTTCCAATCAAACTGAATATATATTGTTTGTATTATTTAGGCTCGTCGTCTCAAGCAACAACCCACAAAGTCAAATGATATCAAGATGGAGATAAAAGAAGAGGAAGAACCAATGGAAGAAAATGCAGAGGATTTGGTAAGTTTCACCTTATTAGAATAAAGGGAGCTAGATCAGTGGGTGAGCAACATTAGCATGTTAACTTTAGGCTGCTGATCCGGACGTTGTTATGATTGACTCAACAATGGAATATTGTCGCAACATTGGTTCGTTGGCTTACTAAATGATTTTTAGCATTTATTAAATTGAAGGCGTTGGTTTGTAAAAAAAAGTTTTTTACAGGTGAGATTCGAACACATGGATTTGCTGGCAATCGAGAAGATGCTATCGATTTCGAATCTGAAGAACCGGTTGAAGTGAAGCCACCAAAGGTCGAAGATGAAGAGAAAACCCGAGAAAAGATTCGGTTGGTACGAGTTTCGAAACTGTAACCTTTTGAATTTTAGAAGATTCAAGGAAGAGAAGAAACGTCGGCAACAAGTGGAGAAGGAAATGCGTGGAGGGTAAGCAATTTAGCGCGAATAAGATAATTTACATTTTGTTATTTAGTTGGACGGAGGCGTCGGTGAACCCCGAAGACCAAGAAGCCGAAGCCGAAGCCGGTCTTGATGATGAAGATGAAGAAATTTTGAGAGAGATGAAAGAATTCAAACGGGTTTGTTATTACGTTATTATTAACTTTATAAAGTTTTTGTTTAGTCTGGGAGCGACAGTGAAGAAGATGACGGAGAAAAAGGTAATGGCCAAACAGCAAGTTTAAAATTAGAAATGGTTTAGAAGAAGACGATGTGCTTGGAGGTGAGATTGATGCGACAAAGGGGATTGGTGCAATGCTCAAACTGGCTGCAAAGAAAGGTAAAAATTATCAGATACCAGAATCAGCAACTAACGCAAATATCTCTTCACACCAACCTAAGCTTTAAAAAAATTATCTCACAACTAACTTAAATATTCTTCAGGTTACTTGGAAGATGCTAACAAGAAACGCATCGCGGGTGAGAATCTCGATCACTTGAAGAGCAAAAACTTCTCGAAAGTTGAAAGTGCTAAATAGTAAGTTTTACTTCGTTTTCCTTCATTCAAGTTTGCTCTTTAGTGACATCGAAGAAAAATACACGAAAAAACTGGAGAAAATGGGCACAACCGGTCGTGGTCCCACTCAAGAGTTCTGCGAGAAGAAACACTATAAACCAGAAGTATGTTTGAAGCCTTTAAAGCTGTCCAAACCGTTTTTAGGTTGATCTCAGCTACGTAGATAATCGCGGTCGTGAATTGGATCCAAAAGACGCGTTCCGAATTATGTCGTGGAAGTGAGTTTTTTTGTTCAAAAAAGTCCACTAGCTACCGTTTCTTTTCAGGTTTCACGGAAAGATGCCTGGCAAGAAGCAACAAGAAAAACGCGCTCGTCAAATCGATCAAAAAGAACTTCTCAAAACTTATGTCAGGTTGGAAAGTTGTGTTTATCTAACAAGGATAAGGTATGGAGTCATTATGGGCTTTTTGAACTTTGACGGCTTCATCATGCCCAATTTGAGCTGTCGCACCTCACTCTGTAATTAGTTTTTGCCAATTCTTTGCAATCGCAAGGGAAATAGAGCAAAAATTCTTGGGGGTTGAATAAGACGAAATTAAGCTGCTTCCATAAACTTGCGTTAGTTGCTACGCTACAAGGCGAAAACAAGCTAGGTTCGATCCCCGGCTCTCGAATTTTTTTACTTTTTTAGTTCAGTCTTCATTAACTTTTTCTATCTTATTATTCACTTTTGTAAATAAAAAACCAATTTTAAATTTGTAAACAAAAACAACAACAAGTTAGCAACGATGAAAGTTCCCAAGAAAACAGTCAAAGGAGTACAAATTTGAACAATGTGAACAAGAAATAAAAGAGAAAACCCCATGATTATTTCAGCAGTCTGTTAATGGTTTTTATCCGGAAAGCAATAGTTTACGGGTGTTTCAAATAGTAGAGGCCAAAAATGGCAAATGGTGTTAATTTGTTTGTTTTTGTTGTTTTTGTTTATAAATTTAAAATTGGTTTTTATTTACAAAAGTTTTATTTACATAAGATAGAAAAAGTTAATGAAGACTGAACTAAAAAAAAGCAAAAGAAAGTTGGAGGGCCGAGGCTCGAGGCTAGCTTGTTCGCCTTGTAGCGTGGCACCTTGCCAGTCGGCCACCGAGCAACTTTTGGCAGCAGCTTAATTTCGCGTTATGAAGGCCCCCAAAAATTTTCGCTCTATTTTCCTTGCGATTGCAAAGGATTGGGCAAAAACTAATTACAGATTCAGGCCCGAAAACTCAAGTATGGTATGTTGAAACAGTCAAGGTTCAAAAAATCATCCAAAAACCCAAAAAACCCATGACTCTATATGCCTTCTCCTTGTAAGCAAGTATAGTGTTCTGATAGAAGCTAAAGTTAATGGGGCAATGTGTCTTAAACTTGCATGCTGCCTAAACTTACAAACTTACATGCTTAAACTTACATGCTGTTGAATATAGGATAAAACTCAATAGTCATTTGTGATATATGGTTGATACGCATTTACTTTTTTGTTTTCAGCAGCTCAGACACTCCACTTGGAACACTCAGCCGACAGCGAAAGAAGCAAGAACAGCTGCAAACTCCATATCTTGTTCTTTCTGGAAACACAAGCCAGTAAGTGAAAATTTTTATTAACTAGTGCTAACATTAGCTAGAAAGCAACTGGAATTTTTACAGGAGAGATGTTACAGCATTTTTTCACGTAATTTATTCCTTTTAGTCAAAACTTCAAGAAGGACTAACGATTCGACGAGGAAATTTCCTTCAATATGATTTCTTTTTCGTGTACAATTATTTGTATCTTTTTCTTTTCTTGTAGTCAAGGTGTTGTTGTGGATATTTATTTATGTTGACAAAGTGTTTCATTGTTCTTTAGCCAAATTTTAAATGTTTCCGAACAATATTTATCCATGAAAGAGTACGATTCTTAAAGATACCTAAAGATGCAGATAGAGAATGACTAATATCTTGAGATCATCACCGGGTTGCTTAGAATTTCCGAAACAAACAGAAAAAGGAAATTTTGGTCACCTGAGTCGGGGATAGGTTAAGACAGATTTGTTCGGGAAAGAATTTGGCACCAAATAACAGTAAAAAGACTTTTTGTTGTCACGAACTCAAAAATTGTCTTAGAATGCCAGATTCTTTATCAAGACAAATCCCTTAATTGTGACAATAGTGTAAAAATTGAAAGACTTTACAGAATTGTCATTTTGCACGCGAGAAATACGGATTGATTGAACGGAGAATCAATTTCTCCTCGTCGGTGAGTCCACCCAAAGGGGTTGGTGTGGGAAGGGGATCCTTTTTAGGTGAAGGAGTTGTCTTTCGATCGGATTTTCGATTTGATTGAGACCGGATGGTGGTAGTGGGAGGGGATCTGAAATGAAGATACGGTGGGAGATTTGGTTTTCTACTTGGCTTTCTACCAGATTGGACACTTTCTGAAATTGAATAAAGCCTTAGCCATGTAGGCTGGAAAACTGTAAACTTGATTTTTTAACTGAACATGATTACTATTTCCTTTTGCCTACCTAGTAGTAGTCGGTCTCTTCGTTGTTGTAGGGGGAACTTTGGTAGTTGTGGTTGGTTTTGTCGGCGGTTTCTTCGTTGTCCGATGTGGAACTGGGGGTGCCTCGACAATGAGACGACCGAGAATTGGTCTCCTTGGCCATCCCTTTTGGCGATCAACCTAGAGGTAATTAAATGAAAACACGGATCTTTTGCTACAAAAGTCTTTCTGATACAAGCCTTATCAATGGCGTCCAATTTCTTGCTGATCATCTCGTAGAATTCATCAATGTAGGTGATCCGAAACTCCAAAGCTGTCTCCTCGAAGAAAATCTCGTCCATCGCCGATCTGTAAAGGACCGTTCTAGAAATTCACATCTCCACTCACTTTAATCTTTTCAAAACCGTGTCCAACGAGCTGAGCAGCTTGCCGTAGGTTTTTGAAAGAACGTCCACCTAAAATTAGAACAAAATTGAAACTTCTTCAGAATCACTTTTCAACTCACATAATATGGATTTGTGTGAGCGGTGATTTGTTGTGAGAGTTTCAACCATCCTCTCTCTCGATTGTGAATCCATGTCGAGTTCTCGTAGTAGACTTTAAGCTTCAAGAAGTCGCGAATCGCGTCACGAACTCGATAACCTGAAGAAACACTTGACTAACTTGACTAAAAGATTACGGTAGCTTTTCCTAGCTCAGACTTTAGATACCATACCCGGATAGTGGCATTTATCCTGATTTTGCATTATCTGATCAAGAGTGGTATCGGCCGGGCATTTCAACGTTTTCATCATGTTAACAGCAGCTCGATCTGAAATTCACCTTTGAGCTTTATTTGCTCAAGCTTATGACTAACCAGTAACCACGAAATTTTGCACAATCTGCAAATTGACGGCAAGAGACATCATTGAGGTGGGCATCGTTTCACAGAGAGCCGCGAAATGGTCATATCTAGAGATTTTGGGAATTAGAAGTACACCATGAGCAACACCGAAATCCAAAAATTTCAAACAGATCACAATAAAAAAGCTTTTTAGTGGATCTTTTTATTTCCTCACCTCGACCATCCCGTCAAAATGACACCCCGAAATGTGCTGAACTTTTCCCGATGCTTTAGTGTTTGTAAAAACCTGAAACATGATTTATATATAAAAATTTAAACTTTATTAACCATTCTTTGTTGTTTGCAATATATGGAGCCATTTGGTTGTCCATTTTGTCGGCTCCATTGGCTCCCTAAAAATTCCGATTAAAAGTTTGTCCTTGTTTGAAAGTCAAACCTTGAAAGCACTTGCTCCCCAAACATTTGGGAACATTGTCGACAAGTTTCGCCACATTCCAGATGGGAGATACTGAAGATTTAGAATCGTTTTATAGAAGATTTTATAGAAGATTAAAGTTTCAACAAACATAGTCCAAATTGTCGGTGTATTTCCAGACGACCGGCTCAATGAGATCCTCCAACTCGTACTCCTTGACAAGCTTCGGATCGGCTGTTTTGAATTCGTCAAACCAAGCGAGAACCTGAGATTTTATACATTTTCATTGACTTTTCAGTTTTAACAAGAGACTCACTTTTGTTCCCGGGTGCTTTGCCGTGATGATCTCGGAAACTCGTTTCATATGATCGAACACAAGCCGTTTCGTGTCATTTTTGTATGCGCTCGTATTTAGTAGAGCCACATCTTCTGGGCATTGACCCATCTGAAAACCATGTAAAGTGGAAACATCTGTCTTGATTGAAATCATTGAGCTTTCCCAACAAACCTGATAGGCCTCATCGGCACCGATGTGGAAAAAGTGCATACCGTACTTTGAATGAACCTGAAAATATTACCGTACTCAATTTTAATTTCAAAGCCAAAATTCAGATATTGAGGCTAAGGTAATAAACGATCTGACCTGTGCCACTTGTTGAATCATTGCTTGAATGAGTGTCTGAGCTCGTTCGTGACCGATACAAAAAACCTAGATAAAGGAAATGAATAAGACCTAGAAATTTCTTAAAAACTCTAGAGATTTTAAGTCTAGGACAGTTTTTAAGGACATCTAGGACAGAAAACTGTCCTAGATTTTAAGTTTCCTGCAAACAAACCATTGGATATTTTGGATCTTCACGAATCTGTAGATTCTCCTCCATTTTCAGCACCCATTCCGCGTGTCCTAGTGTTTGCACCAGAGGAATTACCGTCAACCCGAGTTGTTGAGCACTCAAAGTATTAGCTTTGTTCAATAGACGTTTGAATTTAGTACATCTTTTGTTTGCTTTCATTTACTCAAAGATTCCTTTCCTCATTTCTTTGTTCATCTTTTAAACTCACTAGCTGAGCACATCGTCGACCTCGTTGAGAGTGTAGGCGTACCCGTTCACGTAGTTGCCCAACTCACCCTAGAAAATGGAAATTGATTCATCAAAATTTCATCACAATCTGATCCGGGCTATTGGATTATTCTTACTGTATACGGGAACATATCCTCCCATTCCATCACGACTCCAGTTGCTCCCAGTTGAGCCACAAGACCCAACAACTGCTTTAGATAGGTGGGACGAGCTGCAGAACCTGGGATTTGGATAAGTTTTGCAAAAAAACCTCATCAATCCAACTTTGATATAAATTTTAGGTTCAAAACTCACCCTTCATATCGATATGGACGAGGGTCTCCTCCATTGTTTGATATGGCTAAATTTGCTCGACATTTCAGTATTGAAGCTTTCCTTTCTCACCTGTGCAATGATGGAGGCAAGTAGGAGACATGGCGGTAGTAAGAGGAATCGAAGTATTTTCGCCATGCTGAAATCGTTGATTTGAGTTAAATGTTAACAGCAATGAACAAGGAATCTTTAATACAATACGGTTACAGTACTGGACAAGGAAATATCATATTTAAAAAACGATCGTCACTTTCGCGCGTCTTTAACTCCCTTGTCTTTGAGTTTAAACTATTAGTGTTATACAAAAAAATGAAGCCTATTCAGGTCTAAAAAATGGTAATATTAATATTTAGAAAACGGAAAAGACAAGGAGTATACTCGAATTTAACAGCAAGGAACAATGAAGAAGGAATCTTTACTACAATACTGTTATATTCAAATTTTAATTCTCATCTTCAAAATATTGAAAGTTCAATCGAAAAAGGCTTTTATAGAGTTCTTGCAAATATCTTCATTCAGTTTGTCAGCTTTTTTTTGCGTATTTTTCTTTTGCTTTTGCTTTTGCTTTAAAGAATCGAACGGAAAAGAATCGAACAAACAAATAAATATTCGATTTTATAAGATTTGAAAAGAAAAGTTCAATGTTTAGAATAGAAAACACAAAAGATGAGAACGTTTTGGGGGGAAAAGGAGAGAAAAGAGCTTGAACAGAGCAAAGATTTTTTAAGAAAATTGAGAGAATCAAATGTGCCAGAGAGCGTGCGCTTGCCAAAGAATAAAGAATAAAGTACTCGCCGAATTTATGCGTTTTTTGAGAACAGAAACCATCACTTTTTATCCATCACAGACATGTTTCTTGGTGATGTTTTATCAGTGAAGAGACAGCCAATCCGAGACACCAAAACAAAAGCACATTAAAGTTTTGAAAGCCAATAAAGGTTTTACGTTTAGTAAGTGTTAAAATTTTGAGTGCTTATCGGTTGGCTGAGATTTTTGATGCCAAAAAACATTTTCGAAAAGACATTTTATTTTATAATAGTTGAATGAAAGGACATTTTCTATTGGAAATTGTTAAAAATTCGTCCCAAAGATCACTTGAATCTTGTTTGAATGAATTGTAAAAGTGAATAGGCAAAAGATTGGGAAATACATTACAGAAGGGCTTCTGCATTGAATTTTTAAAGAATAGTGATATAAAAATGAAAAAAATGGCAAAGAATATTTTGACGAATCTCAATGAATTTTATGAAAGTAAAGGAGAAAAACTGTAACTAATTCAATGTCCCCTAAAGTTGGCAATTATCAAGTTCTTTGTTATGGTTTTTTGGAATGATATCAGCTAGACATAGACCTGGTCTCGGGTGCGGGTGGGTCGAGGGTTCAGAAGTGCCCCGCTACCGACCCGCAACTTTTGCTTTTTCCCGGGTGACCCGCTGACCCGACCCGGCCGCCTAAACTCGAAAATGGACATGTCTACTAGACACTCTATACTTTCATATTATATTTGGCCTTTACAAATTTTAAAAATTTTACAATATTTTCACGTACAAAATGCAAGGCGAAAAGTTTCGCCTTCGCGCCGCTTTCGTGGTCAGGTCTTAAATAAGGGAAATCCCTCCCGGGCCTGCTTAAACCTCGGCCCCAGTCCACCTTTCGCCGGACCTAGCCCAAAGACATTCTTTCTTGTTTCGTCTTGAAGATTTTCTTCTGGGTGAAAAGTTCGGATCATGCACATAACAAAAAAGCAATGGACACTGATTTGGCTCGAAACCCCATTTTTTGGAGTATGGCCCAGGGATTTGCGCACCAAGAGGAACTCATCAATAATAAAGGTTTAATATCACATTAATAGTGCGTTTGTCCATGTATTAAAACCCAACAAAAAGTTATTCAAAAAAGACATATTTCCTAAACCGAATAAGTAAATTAAGGGAGAAACTGTATACTCGAGACTTTAGGGTAATTCAAGCTGTATCTTTCAAAAAGTCAAAATGTATCTCAGGTATTACGGCAGGGATAATTATAAGTAAGTTAAAGCTTTGAAAATCTGAAAAAACAGACCTCTTTGGTCAAAGAGAATCAGTGAGAAATTTGGTCTCTAGACAGGGAAGTTTATGTGAAAGAATGGAACAAAAAATGAGCCGATTCGTCTAATAAATGAAGAAAAAGAAAAGAAAAGAAAAGAAAACTATACTGAGAATTTGAGGAAATGTTAATAGGCGGATTTGTGAATAAAATGCTAGAGTAAGATAAGAAAGTAGCCTCAAATCGGCTGGACTCATTGCTCAAATGTTAAACAATCCATCATGCCCCACATCTATAAATAACTCGATCAAAAACAACCCATCCAACCATTGAGCGATTGATTTCTGTTCTCAATGAGGAATCCCATGTTTTTTTGTGTTCTGTTTGGGTCAAAAAGATGAGTAATTGTTCCTTTCCTTTGCCTCTTTTCCCGTCAAACATATGGCTTTCATTATTTTTTCCTTTTGTCATTCCAAAGCGATATTCGATCTTAAAATGACCACTTAAGCCCAAAAAAAAACTTTAAAAAACAAAGTTCTCGAGAAAAATGGTCATAAAATTTGAAATCTCAAAGTTCACCATGTGGCGGTCAACGGGCTCAAAGCCAGTCGTGATTTTTTAAAGCGGAGCAAAGGAAAGTTTGATTTTACAACTGATTTTTAAATATTTTAAAGTAAGTGTTCTCAGAGTTAAACAAGAATAAAATAACAGTGTTAAACTTTTGAATTGATGGAAATGAAGGCAATGAGGGAAATGAAGGCAGTGAAAACCTTTCGATAACTTTAATAGTGTCAAAAAGTACTGAAATTTGTTGTAAATAGTTTCAAACTTTCAAACTTTCGAAGTTCTCTTTTAGAGTTTTTCAATTCGGTGTTCTTGGTCATTTTGTTGTCTAACTATACGTTTTTTCGTCGTTGATTGACTCTCGTGAACACAAAAAAGTTGTTTTTCCAAGGCAAAAGATTGATGTGAAAAAGAGGATGAACAAATGGGTAACGAGGTCCATCTGGCGGAGGGGAAGGGGCAATCCGAGCATTGCATGGTCAGTTAAAAGTCCATTTTGTTGTTCATTGTAAGAGATCAAAAATCGAGATCTTTAGACCGATGCTCCGAAGCTCAAACCAAATTCTGGAGTTAATTTCAACAAACAAAAGCAAAATCTATAGCTGCCATAGGGTAAAAATGGTTGAATGACTAAAGGAAACTTGTAAAAGAGAGTAAGAAAATGGTTGAATGTCTAAATGAAACTGGTAAAAGCAAGTAAGAAAAATCTGCCGCATTTGTGCGGGAAAACGAGATTTTTGACCCTTTCGTGGCACCGGCTAACCAAGGCGGGGGTCATAAATCTTAGAAAGTTAAATGAAAATCGTTTTTTTTTGATGATTGCTAGCAAAACTTTGGCTAAAAGAAGCAAAATTCAATGCATTTTGATAGTTCAAACGAATTTTCTGTTCTTGAGCCCCGTCTTTGACTCCGAACAGATCAAAAACCGCCGTAATTTTGATCTGATGAAAAATTTACACTTCATTTCTTGTGATTTTCTCAAATTTTGATAAATGACATGCTTTTTTTGGTATGTTTTTATGTTCGTTTCTCAAAAATCGAGCTTCAGCTTTAATCAAAGATAAGAAGAAATGAGATAAGGAAGGGTCAAAGAAGAATTGAAAAAGAAAAAAGGATAGAGGTAGGAAAGGAAACTTCTAACTGAGGACTCAATGTACAGTACTGTACAATGAAATATCATATTTGAAAAAACACTTTCGCACTTTCGCGCGTCTGTAACTCCCTTGTCTTTGAGTTTAAACTATTAGTGTTATACATTTTCTGAAAGGTCTTTTCAAGGGCTACACAATGGTAATATTAATATTTAGAAATACGGTAAAGACAAGGGAGTTACAGACGCGCGAAAGTGACGATCCTTTTTCCAAGTATGATATTTCATTGTCCAGTAGTGTAGATCTTTGTGTTAGTACTTAGGTTGAAGATTAAACTTGAATGGTAACCAAAAAAACAATGAAAAAAGGATATTAGGCTAGATTCAGCCACAATAGGCTTACGAATGACCAACTGCCTGCCTAGCAAGTTCAGCAACAGCAAGATCTCAAAACAAATCATGAGAATAAAGAAAAAAATCTAATAATCAAAAGAAAACTTTTAGTTGATACTCTAAAAACGTCAATATTTAGAAAGGAAATCTTTTTTGAGCACAAAAAAGTTCCTCGTTGTCAACGCGATTCTTTTCAAGTGCGAGACTGGGCTGGATCCTTACAAGTCCAATTCAAGGTTACTTTAGCAAAAATTTTAGCAATTTTAGCAATTTTACCAAATTTTTATCCGCGAATGATGGAAATGACAATTTCTGGGGTATTTTCGCGCATTTATATATCCACTTGTTGTGAATCTTGCTGAATGGAAAGGGTCACAAAGAGTGGATCCGATTTTCTTCATATTTCAGCTGATCGAACGTCTCTTTCTCCGCATCCCCTACTTTCTTTTCTCTTCATTGACCAAGACCAAGGACGCATTTTTTTCAGAGGAAAAGATTGAGGTTTCAATAAGGAATCGAAAAATTTTGGAAACTGAAAAGATCGGATTGAAGATGGGATTGAAAATAGGCTTTGGGATAACTTGTTTTCAGATTTAAATTATTTTTCAAGATCTGAGATGATTAAAAATATATCCTATACCACAAAAATCTTATTTCAATCAGATTTTTCGAGTTGACAAACAAATGACACCAAGTGAGAAAAGGCGATTGAGAGAAGTGGAAGAAAAGGAAACATTTCCTATCCCTCATTTCATTTTTCGTATAGTCAATGAGGGAAATTTGAGTTTTCAAAAGAAAAAAACAACAATTGAAAACAGAAAAATAAATGGCTTTCTGGTAAATAAAACTTTATGGATACTGTAAAGACAGTAGAGACGGTAGAGACGGTCAAGTCGGTATTGCAGAGTTTAAAAATGTTTTCAAAGCTCGTCAAGACGGTATTGCAGTGTTTAAAAATGTTACAAATACTAAGCCAAATAGCTGAACTGACTCAAAGATAATTGAAAAAAAGCACCGATTTTCGGAACACAAAGGGGTAAAGATGTTTACAAAGGGGTAAAGATGA